AGCCTCTGTATCGTCTCAGACCTCGTCAGCATCTAGGTCCTCCTTAGCTGGTGATGGCGAGGAACCACTGCCACTAGCTGGGCAGCTGGCGGAGAAAGATCAAATGATAGATCGCATCCGGCATCAGCTGGACTTTTATGCTGGCGAGCTGCGGAGTAAAGTGGAGAGGGAGCAGCAATTGATGCGTGTGATTGAGGAAAGCAATGCACGCTGCAAGGCCACCGAAGAGCAGATGACGCAGCTGGAGGACCGATTTGAAGTCGTGCAGGAGGAGTGCATCTGCATGCGCACCCATCGTGAAGGCGTGTTAAGACTGTCGGAGCGTTGCATGATGGAAGCACAGAGGCTGGGCGAGTACACGGCCAGCAAGCATAACCTTGAGCAGCTGGTCACGTCACGCGACTCTCTTATGAACGATCTGGTTGTGCGCTGTGCCCTGTTAGAGGAGCAGGTCAAATCTCTGCACGGCAGTTTTAGCAAGCTCTCTGCTAGCCAAGCCACTGGCACTGGCACGACTGCGGATAATAGCAATGAGCTTGTTATTGCTTCCTGCCGCAAGGAGATTGCCTGGCTGAAAAGCTGCCTGCTGCGGCAGTTCTTGCAGAATCAAGCATGTGGAGACGCGGAGGAGTCCAAGGAGCCAAGCGAAAACGAGACGGCTGCCGATCCTGCTGCCGAATTGATTTCAAGCAGTACTGACAGCTTGCATTGATCGCATGATGGCCAATGTTCCGTGTTCAGTTTTGTCACTTTGTACGGAGGCACAGACAGAAGAGGACCGTCTCATAATTGCCGGAATGGCCTGAAAAGCTGCCAGGGTTTGAAACTTTACTCTGGTATTATTTATTCCACAAGAACTGCATACTTTGAATTCCAATGCTTGCAGCATACCATTCGGTGAGGTGTAACTGTTTGCAAATATTACTTGAGTACTTTTCCACCTGGATCCGGTTTGTCTACCCATGTGCACTGAAGAGAGGAGCTTGTGCAGAAATCAGGATACCAGTGGTTGAGAGATGGAGCTGCTTGATCCCACTGCTGGCGAGAAGCAATCGTCTTGGATGCTGCAATGCAATGTGTGTTGAGATTGAAAACCTAGTCACGTCTCAGTATCTGAAAATCATTGCATGCATTGTAGATCTAAGCACTTTCATACACTGCTCTGCACATTGATGCATCACGTGCGCATTCTATTGAAGCTGTCCTGACTGACCCTGGCTGAGCAATAAAAATGGACATTGCTGGATTCGGCGAAGGAGATTGGTGATCATTTTCTTCTTCATTGTTTGACTTGTGATCCAGAAGTCGCAGCTGGTGCTAGCACCAGTACATGTAGAGTAAGTTAGCAATCAATCTCTACTGAGCCACATGCTACCACCGTGGCACATCAATACGGTGTACACTATCTATTTCACTCCTTTATCCATTCATTTTTTACTTGACGGATTCTCCTACAGTAGACGGTTACATGAAACTTACAGCCTGATCCTCAGCATTCCCTTTCCCTCTTTTCTTTCTATTTCTATTTCTTTACGTTCCTCAGCCGTGGTTGGCATTCACCCCCTCCTCTTTGATTGGCAACTCAGTGACGAGCTAATAAATATATGAATATGGTTTCTAAGTTTCCACTTTGTCACAAATATCCCAGTAGCTGCCAGTAGCTGTACCTACTGCTGCGGCTGGGATAATTTAAAAAAAAAACCCTGATAAACTGCTGTGGCTCATTGTTAGTGACATGCCAATACATGCATGCAGGAAATCTGGGGACGTTCGCCTGCCTGGCACCGTTGTAACTTGTGGTATCGTCATGTTGCGATTCGGATTGGGCTAACTTTAAATACTTGATCACCTTGGCACAAATGTGAAGAAAATATGTGACAAATGCATTCGTTTTGAGTAGCGGCTGCGTACATGCACATGTAGCACTATTGGACTGGTATTCTAACGTCTGGGTAATTCTGAGATCGGGGCACCCTTTGGACCCAAGCCACCCGGACCTGGGTAGTTCTGTTGTACAGTATACACGGGTATTTGACCATAATTATGGATTAATGTGTTTTGAGACCGACTTGAATTCAGCCATAGCACACATTGTCAAAGTGTGCACTTATGATTATGAGGCAGTATGAATCTTGGCCCACCACAAGGCTTGTAGCCATCATTTGTGCCACCTCTCTCCCATCGGATGACACAATTTCTATATTGAATTGCAGTGAATATTGCTGCAAACGAGGATCATACTCGATTCGTTGTGATACATAACCGCACGTGTCCTGTATGCTTCTCAGACATGTCTATTGCCAAGGGTCTTGGTGCAGTACTACTAAGAGTGCACATAACTGGATATCAATATGACACGATGATGTGATTGTACGCTTCGTGTTACAAAAGATGGCCCATTCAATGTAGGTACTCGTAGCCTCAATTCTAGTCTGTTTCAAACAAAAAATGCGATTGTTAAACGTTTTTTGTAGGAATCAGATAATTGTCTCTCCGGAGATAAGGCAGTGTTGCCTGTGCCCTGAGCGAATTGAAATAAAAGAATACATGTGCAACAATTATTTTGAGGTAGTCGGGAACAATAACAGTTTGGAAGAAGGCATGTAGACAACGGCCGACATCATGTTCTATGTGCCAGTCTAATCACACTGATCATCAGAAAGTGACTCTGATATCGATACAAAGGTGGATTGAGTTTGCCGTGGGGAATATCAGCAAGAGTGAAACAGCTCCCTGGGAGCATAGTTTACCCGTACTCAGTCACTCTTGGTACAGGTGGAATCCTGATAATTCAAACCTCAAAATGCCAGGAAAAAACTTCTAATTATCCGGACATTCTAATTATCCAAACATGAACCCACAACACAATATGTATGTCAAAATGCTCTCATGAAAACGCAGAGTTGCGCTATGGACCTTACACAGATTTCACGGATACTGAACTGACCGGCGCGGCACAGCCTGCAGGCCTGCTCATGCAAACTGAACTGACCAGCACAATGTACAGTGAACTTCGAATTACACTTTGCTAACTTCAAATTACCAGCACAAATGCTACACATTTTCTATGTAAGTGGAATCTGTGGGACTTCGAATTAACCTGACATATCCAGTTCGAGGTTCGAATTATCAGAATTTTTATGTGGGAATCGTATTGATAGAAATCGGTCCTGGAAAAACTTCTAATTAAGCGGTAGTATGTTCGAATTAAGCCATATTCGAATTATCAGGATTCCACCTGTAAATAGTAAATCATCGCGGCATTGTCCCATTCGTACTCGGGATATACTAGTAGTAGTACCGTATCTCCTATATTTTCCCTCACATCTTCACTACTCAGAATAATATTCGGCAGTATACGAGTCCTATACCTCTTGTACTCATGGGATAATGCATTACCCATGGGGGCCCGGGTTATGGACTATTCTGTCCCCGGGGAAAATCGCGGAAAAAATCGCGAAAAACGCGGCAAAAAACGCGGCATGATATGGCATAATTTGCGGTGAATTTGCGGTAAATACGCGGTGAATATTATTGATATCATCTCGCGGTGGCAAGTTTGCAGTTGATATGAGGCAATTTTCAGTGAGTATGTACAGTCCATTTCAAAACTATAGACGCGTACCTAGGCAAAAACCGTTATGCCAGCATCTATACCACATAAAATCTGTGATCACTTTGTGCATAAATTTTTCCAAATTGGGCGTCTGTTATCCAATCCTTTAGAAACTATATGAGAGTAATTGTGGAGCGATCCTGAGCAATATTCCGAAAACTATTCTCAAAAAGTTCCAGCCAAATTTGAAATATTTCAAAAACCCTACGCGTCTATAGTTTTGAAATGCACTGTAGACTTGTAGTAAAATCAATCAGTTACAAGTCTCTGGTGTAAGCACTCGTCATATTTTGAGTACAAAGCCGCCACGATGAGCCGTTGCTGACCGAACAGTGCACTGTGTGTACGTGTAGTGCAACAAAAAAGTTCAAAAAACGCGGGAAAATCGCGGAAACGCGGTCTTTTAAAAAATCGCAAAAAAACGCGGAAAAAACGCGGCCGCGGAATCGCGATTTTCCCCGGGGACAGACTATTGCATGTACTGGCTGGAATTTCTGATTTTTGTGTCTGGTGCGCTCCTACTTGTATTCTGTTTCTCCCTGGTGGGTTTTACCGGTAATTTTTCTTGAGCAGTGTTTCTGCGAAGTCTTTTCCCTTGACCCTCTTGTTCGCTTCCCTTTCCGATGATCCAATCATGTACGTGAACAGTGAACAGTGAAGTATCATTCACAGAGCAGAACTAACAGAGCAGAGTCATGATAAACTTTTCTAAGTAGATCTACTCGCGTGTTTTGAGTGTTTGAGTTGAGGTAGAGTCGTGATGTCAAGTTCATTAATTCACTCATCCAAATTTTTCTTTAAAGAGTTCTACAAAAGTAGATGGATATCCGGATACACATATATGTGCAAGATATGACATTTTGTCGCCCGGAATAGAAGGGATAATTGTGGCCAACTACATTTGTAACTTTCTTTCGGCTGCTGATGGTGAGTCCTGGTGACCGTGACGTACCGAGTTGTGCCGGGTTTCGTCACCATCGATTGCACACCGTCCATTCTACAATGTACAAGTCCAAGCCCACCCTGCTGGCCTGGCCAAATCCTCGGATTCTTGGCAGGGAGTTTACAAGTACCGGTAGTAAGTAAGTACAGTAACTACTTACTTGTTCGACTCCATGATCCTGAACTGTCAACATGTCCTGCATGGGGAGCCAGTGGGGACCTGGATATTATGTAGACTCGCACCCTTTATTTGGCTTGTTTGTAGGTGTGTCGGGGGAGTGCACTGCCGATCCACGTGGTACCGTATCGCGCAGTGTGCCCACGTGCCACAGCCACGTACATGCACATCGCGTATCTTCGATTTTGTTGATTGGAAGCAGTCGACTGTACGACTCGTACTAGCTCAGCCAAACTCAAACTAAGTCAAAGCGTCAAAGCAAGAAATCAGTTTTTAGTACTTTTACAATTTTCAAGATCATGCATTATTGTACTGCAAACTACCTATAAAAGACCCACTCAACAAACTTTAAGTCGAAGTCAACAGCTTGTTAGTTGTTGCTGTTCCGAAGATAGGTCCGTGGATGTCCTGGCTAGGTGACAGAACGACCTCCCCACCTTATTGTAGATTAGCATCCTTGTCGTGGCTAGCCACCGAACCCCGAGTCCACAATTACAATGCCTAATGATTTCGGTTTGAGAATTCACGGTGCCTCCCAGATTGTCCTAATCTGCAGCAATGGCGAAAAGGTGCTCAGCGGTGAGGCGCAGAAGTCGGTGGTTACGTTGGAGTCCAGCAAAGGCCTGACGGTGATTGTTGACTTATGGGGTCAAATTCGCGACTTCGGCGAAGATGATGAGATGTGGAAGAAGTACGAGGGAGCTGTATATCAGGGATACCTTGATGCTACTGGAATGTGTATCATGCCAGGTGAGGGAGGCACAGCAAGAATGAATTATAGCTACATGTATATCAGTACATAAAAATGTACGATTAAAACTTGCCATTTATTTTAGTGCATCCATGTACGATGTGCATGTACTATATTAAAAGTTTAAAACACAAAAAAAGAAGAAGAAAAAGACGAACCCTTCAGTCCCATCCACAATATCACTTTTTGCCATGCGATGTGCGACATACGACACTTGGGACAAGGAAATGCCGGTCGCGTACTTTCGCAAGCACTCGCAAGGCCGCTGTCGCAGAAGTTGACCAAAATTCAACTCCTGCGACGTGCAGCACACAATGTACATAAATGGAGTACAGTTTCTACACTGGGTACACATGCAGTGCACTTGCTTAGTATGTGCACTGCAAAGGGATGTCGCGGACACCAACAAGATAGTGAATGGTGTGTCACGGTCGCAGCTCGCCGCAGATGTCGCAATGTCGCAAAGTCACATGCTGCGTTGCCGAAAGTGGTACTTCGAAGTACATGTGTTGTGAATGGGCCTTTAGTATGGGGAGAAATTTGAAAAAAAACTTGTCCCTTTTCTCATCCTTCAAAACTTAGGTAAAAACGAGAGAGCTGCCAGCTCAGGGCCCTTCCTATGCTCGGTATTTGCCTAGATCATACGTGTTATTCCAACTGATAGAAACTTATTTGCCATTCAAAACACATCATCCGCATTGTAAAGACGTTCATATCAGTTTGAATAACGCGCATGATGACTTATATGTTGGTAATACGAAGTATAGAGAGGAGCAAGGTTGAGTTCTGCCATGAAAGCCTACAACTTCAACATCTTTGCTTGTAGATCTAGCCGCAGACATACGGTTGAGAATATGGCCAGAATTGTCCAAACATTGAAGACTTCAAGCTGGAGTGACTGACACTACGCTATATGATGTGATGTCATTCTCCTGCTGTTTTTGCTTTTGTTACTGTTGTGCATGTGTGTGTGTGTGTGTGTGTGTGTGTGTGTGTGTGTGTGTGTGCACGTGCACCGGTCTTGCAGGGTTGGTTGATGCACACACGCATCCCGTGTGGGTTGGTGATCGTGTTCATGAATTCGCAATGAAGGTGAGTCGGCATCAACCTTCATTCTGCTAACTACCTGTAGTCTGTACACATCAGTCGGTAGTATAGTGAGATCTGACAGAAGCATTGATGGTACACACATACATTGAAGTACATGTACTGTAGACTAGTGTCACTGGATTGACGGCAAGAAAGCGCTGTCCTTTGGTTTGGACTGTGCTGCAATTGAATAATAAAGCTGACGTTCGTTGTTAGTGTTCATCTAGGCGCGTGACTGTATGCCTGCCTGTGGCCGCTTGCTTTGTCCACGTTGTGTTCAGCTGGCAGGTGCAACGTACATGGATGTGCATGCAGCTGGCGGTGGCATACACTACACCGTGGATCATGTGCGTAAAGCCAGCCTGGAAGAGCTGACCCAGCCGCTGGTCGGCCGGCTCAGACGCATGATGCAGGGTGGCACCACGCTGGTCGAAGCCAAGAGCGGCTATGGCCTGGACGCACCCAGTGAGATCAAGATGCTGCGTGCTATCGAGAAGGCACGATCCATCGTCCCGATTGACATCAGCTCTACCTATTGTGGTGCTCATGCCATACCAAAGTAAGTGTATGAGCAAAAGTATTCCCTGGAAATTTATTTTCGTTGTTTTCATCAAAGGTATTCTCGGACCAATGCCATATTTTGTCAAGCTTTCGAATGCATTCTGCTGGTACAGTACTCTTGACAGCTGTAAAGTAAACACCTCCTGCTTCTTTGTGTGTTGCTTCTGTTCCTATGTTCCACGAGGTGGCATGCCTTCCTGCTGGTGATCTCCGGTGACGGAACATACCATAGGGGGCAAGAAAGCTTCATTTTTAAAGAGTAAAAGAAAACTGGATTTGGGTGCACATAAAGTTTTTGGCCTGTGGGTCACAATTGTGTGACTAACGTCAACCATATTATAGCACCATCTTGGCATGCCTGTAGTGAAGACTGGCACAGAAGTGACTAGTTCTTCACCCACGTGTGAGCTTTATGCAGGTCTACAGCAAGTATTCTGTTACTAGATTTAACTACGTAACGTAGGAGTCTCACCCAGGCAGTAGGCGGTATCATTAGATCTTGGTGCTGCTACCGTTACTGCGACTGGGATAATGGGAAGAATGTTCTTACTGCAAAGCTTCATTTCTTGGTTCTCTGTACTCTGTTCACTTTCGCTCTGTCTCTCTCTGTCTCTGTCTCTGTCTCTCTCTCTCCCCCTGTCTCTCTCTCTCTCTCTCTTCTCTCTCTCTCTCTCTCTCTCTCTCTCTCTCTCTCTCTCTCTCTCTCTCTCCCTCCCTCTCTCTTTCTCTCTCCTGTGCCTTAGGGGAAGCACTGAAGAGAAAGCTACTGATGATGTGCTAAATGTGCAGCTGCCTGCCATTCAGCGTCTCAGAGAGGCTAAGGAGCTGAAGGTGGACAACATTGATGTCTTCTGCGAGCAAGGAGTGTTTGGGATTGACAACACTCGCAGTATTTTAGTAGCCGGCAAGAATCTTGGTATGGAGGTCAACTTCCATGGTGATGAACTTCACTACACCGGCTCAGCCGAGGTAGGTAGCCTAGCATAGCTGTGGCTAGCTTGTTACTGTCACGTTGATCATTATCTGTCTGTAAACATGCGATGCCATATTGTAGGGGTGACATGCTTACCCTTGAAATCCGGGTTGAGCCAGGTCTCATTTTAAGACATAAATATCCAGGGGTGTATCGGCCTTGCTTGGCCAGCTACACGTGTAGCGAGTTTCAATACGGAGGCAGTGCTGAGCTTTGGACGAACGACTAGACAACTGTGGATATGCAGTAGTGAAGCTTGAGAAGAGCGTGTGCGCATCATAGTTCAGAGTTTGGTGTGGAAGAGTGACAGCAGAATGGCTGAGCGTTTAGGATCAGTGTCTGAAATCGTCAATTGATATTGTTTCTTCAGGGAAGTGCCGTGGGCGAACATAGATGCCGTCTGACCAGCAGGCAGTTGACTATGCAGTGGGTGAATCAGTTTGGTGGACTGTGAGGCATGCTCGGGACGTTTTGAGTTTACGCTTGGAGCGAAATGTTAAACATGCAGTGGGGTTGATGACATCACGCCCTGGTTTATCACTCAATTCGAAGCATTATGTCATTCGCAAAACCCCTGTGGTGCACAAGCGAGATGTTGAGCCTGAAACTTAATATTTCAAAGTGTGCAGAATACTTTGGCAATTCCGGTAGCTGCTTGTGGCGGTCAATGTCTTGTTTGTGTACATATATGTGTGTTGGTGTGCAGCACTGTCATTGTGTGGTGTGTACAGTCATACTCATGGAACTGTTGTTCGTATTGTGCTTATGTTCTCTCTCTCTCTCTCTCTCTCTCTCTCTCTCTCTCTCTCTCTTTCTCTCTCTCTCCGGCCCGTTCGTTCTCTGTGTGTTCTGTAACAGCTGGGTGCATCACTAGGTGCCCGTGCCATCAGTCATCTGGAAGAAGTGAGCGAGGCCGGTATGGATGCCATGGCGGAAGCGGGCAGTGTAGCTGTACTATTGCCAACCACGGCGTACATGCTGAGACTAAAGCAGCCACCTGCACGGCAGATGATCGAGCGAGGTCAGTTGTCAAATCTAAGCCTGTATCCTGCAGTTCGAACCTCTACCTATGGAATTCAAATACGCATGTACGATAGTAGTACATGTACATGTAGCTGTTCTTTGCTGTACCTCTACGTCTCAATCAGAAAGTTGCCAGTTTAGAGAAACTACGTTTCCATGTACTGGCCTGCTGCCTTTCATACCTCAATGACCAGCATCAGTGAACAAATGTTGTGTCTTTCTGTTGATTGGATAATTAGACTAGTTAACCAGGCTTTAGCGTAACTATGTTGATCCGGTTTGAATGTTACAGGTTATAATCTGGAAAATGCCTCGTTGTCAGTTCCAGATGTATTTTCATGGATCTCTTCTTGAGTACATGATGCGAATTACTGAGGAAGGGGGGCTACAATTGTGTGTGTGTTTGTGTATGTGTGTGTGTGTGTGTGTGTGTTTGTAGCCAGGTATTGTCCACTAGTGCAATAGCCGTGGCTTGGAGTTATGCTACATCTGTTTCGCCCCGCTTTCTAGTACCGTAGAACGGCTAATTTAGCGGGTAACATTTTTAGCGTTTACTGAATCAGGACCAATCCGCGGTGAAATATTTTTTATTGATCCGTGTAAAAGATGACTAGTACATGTACTGTACTGTACATGCAAAATTTTGATTAGCACGGCGAAACTTTAGCGAACCACTCCTTTCGCTAAAATCGCTAAAACATCACCGGCGCTAAAATTAGCCGTGTTTCAGTACCTAAATTATGGTTGGTGCATCTCACTTGCTAATGCTGCCTGTGTACACCTGTTTCTACATAGGTGTTCCCGTGGCACTCGGTAGTGACTTCAACCCAAATGCCTACTGCATGTCTATGGTAAGTGGTCAAGTGGCTAGTTTCCTATCTTGCCCATGTCCTGTACAAGCAGATGGTGCTTGTACAGGTGTTCCGATGTATGTTGAAACACATAGAGGTGCGTGCGCTGACTGGTCTTCGTAGACAGGTTGTCTTTATAGACAGTTTGTCTCTATAGGCAGGTTGTCTCTATAGGCAGGTTGTCTCTATAGGTAGGTTGTCTCTATAGGCAGGTTGTCTCTATAGGCAGGTTGTCTTTGTAGACAAGTAACTATAGACAGGTTGTCTGTATAGACGGATTGTCTTTATAGCCAGGTTGTCACACAGGTTATCTCTATAGACAGGTTGCCTCTTGCGCCAGTGGGCCATTCCCATGGTAGCCAAATTAGTATTGAGGTTGATGATCCTTTGAGGTTGATCGACAGGCACACAAGCACATGAGGTATTCATTCTGCAACATGCAATGACCTGTATGTGTGTACTGCTTCAGTGCAGTGCATGTGCTAGTACTGCAGACACATGCATTTCCCTTCAACCAACCAAAGCTGTGCCTGGAGCAATTGTTCGATTTGAACTCTTTGATTTGCCGCGGGCTGCTGTTGACCGCAACGCCTCTCTTCTCTTCAAGTTCTGTATTTGTCTGTTGTTGCCTGTTATGGCTGCTAACAATACCTGATTGGTTTCCAGCCCATGGTGATGCACTTGGCTTGTGTCAACATGCGAATGACCATGCCGGAAGCCCTGGTAGCTGCCACCATCAACGCGGCAGCAGCGCTCAACAAATCGGACACGCATGGCTCCATCGAGAGAGGCAAGGCATGTGACTTCGTGCTCATCCAGGCACCATCGTGAGTAGTGTGTTGTGTAGCTCTGTGTGTGATCATGTGCTACACAGGCACCATCGTGAGTAGTGTGTTGTGTAGCTCTGTGTGTGATCATGTGCTAGCAGTCACTGTACATGCATGGGATGTGTGATCCTGTGCTAGCAGCCACTGTACGACGTGATCTGCTATTATGTAACATGAAAGTAAAATTTCAATTTTTGCTGGCATGCCGTATTTTTTCTCAGAACGACTACTGAGAGTATAAAGAATGGCCCGGTTTCATGTTGCCATATACGTGTACCAAATTTGGTGGATATCAAAGCACTATGAATGGGTTTCCTCGTCACTTGTTTTGAGCGTGTTTTTCATACACACAAAGTAGTTGTACTATTACCGTAAAATCCCGCCAGAGCGCCAAGTCTCTCCCATGCGCCCCTCCCTGACTTCTTGTCAGGGCAGTGAAATCCTCGTATGACTCTGTGAAGTGTGATGCCGGACCCCACTGCAGACGCGTGCTCGGCCCGGTTGGAAATGTACGCGACAGTCCACTCCCTCTTGACCAGGGATCGCACAAACCCTGGGTTTTGATGGGTCTCTACGACTTCCTGCTCTTGACCTTTGGTCGGTGTACGAGCCACACGCACATTTTTCGTAGGGTGAGTACTTTTTCATGTAGTACCAAAAAAAAAAATGCGGCAAGTAGGACTCACACACCCGTCCCTCTCCACCTGGCCCTACTCGAGGGGGACTCACACACCCGTCCCTCTCCACCTGGCCCTACTCGAAGGGTGGCGGAGGTAGGGGCGCTCTGGCGGGATTTTACGGTATGTGCCATTGAAGGACGATCAGAAGGATGCATCTACAGCAAAGCCGGTGTTCATATAGTAGGACCCAATGGGACACATTTCTGCCGTTCCTCCAAACTTGGCACGTCCAGCACCATACGTCAATGGGCCCAAACTAAGTACATGAAAGCAATGCCAGAGGAAAAGGAAACATTAAGAACTCAGATGGTGAGCCAAGGAAAAAAATTGTAACATGGAAATTGTGGGAAAAGTTATGCGATTGAGTCCACCAACCACATCTGACTGTTCAAAATCTGGTTTAGTTGGTGGACTCGATCGCATAACTTGTGCCCACAATTCCATGAAAAGGAAACAGTTAGCTTATTCAAGCAACAGTCCGATCGCTAGCATAAAACCTGATGTACAATCCTGAGCGAAGCTTGTAGTGGTGAAATTCCTAGATTACAGCATTATGCTGGTGTGGTGTGGTGAAATTCCTAGATTACAGCATTATGCTGGTGTGGTGTGGTGAAATTCCTAGATTACAGCATTATGCTGGTGTGGTGATAATAAACCATCACAAAAGCCTGAACACATGTATAAAAATGACCAGTTCCTAGCTTATGCCTGAAGTCCTCGCCACCTAGACGGAGGTTGTCAACGTCAGCATCACCACTCGAGTTACCCGAGTCAGATGAATCCGAATCCATTTGGCTAGCTGCTTGCTGGGTAAACTGGAGGCAACTTGTGAACAGCGTATCATATGGGAGATTATATGGGAGATCATCGTTGAAGTCCTCGTTCTTAACGGCGATGCCACACTCTACTATTCTCTACTACTCTACTATTCCCTGCATAATGACTTCATACCACGTCTTGAAATGGGTGCTGGTTGACCAACGGCAACGATCAACCTCCAGTCGTGCCTGCTTCTTCACCTTGATGCCAAAGAGTGTTCGGAACGAGTAGTACCAGTGGTAACTTTCGGTCTTGTCTTTAAAGGCGTCTGCCACTTCTGTGCCACGAGTTTAAAGGGGAAGTTCAGGCAAAAATCTAAATTTCACCAGTTGTAGTCTTCGGGGTGCTGAGTCGAATGGTCTTGGCCCGAGAAAGCTGAGACGCTCCCTTCCTACTTGAATCCCAATCGAACTCGCGCACTTCCACCGAAACTGGGTGACTGCGCCCTACTAGATGGGGATTTGTATGCAAAATGTCACTAAAAGCGCCATTTCGTTCTTATAAAAGCACGGATGACCGCGATTGGCCCATATGTTGTAGTCTTTTGGACGCTGAGTCGACTGGTTTTGGTCCGAAAAGGCTGCGATGCAGCGTTCCTCCTTTATTCCCAATCGAACATGGTTTAACAAGCGGTCACGTGCTCCTGGGTGCCCAAATCACCTGGTCACCATGCCAGCAGGCGACAAATTTCACACCAAGGTTCAACTCGAGTGACAGGAGTGCACCCGAAAAAGGTCAAACAGGCTAGTAAGTTGTACCCTGCAGGCACGGTGACCAGGTGACTGGTGTACGCAGGAGCACGTTCGATTGGGAATAAGGGAGGAACGCTGCATCGCAGCCTTTTCGGACCAAAACCAATCGACTCAGCGTCCAAAAGACTACAACATATGGGCCAATCGCGGTCATCCGTGCTTTTATAAGAACGAAATGGCGCTTTTAGTGACATTTTGCATACAAATCCCCATCTAGTAGGGCGCAGTCACCCAGTTTCGGTGGAAGTGCGCGAGTTCGATTGGGATTCAAGTAGGAAGAGAACGTCTCAGCTTTCTCGGACCAAGACCATTCGACTCAGCACCCCGAAGAATACAATAATTAGCGATTTGCCTGCCTTAATGTTAAAGGCTCTGAGCTGCTGGACGAACTGTGCCAGCTGTATCTCGTAGCGCACCGGAATTTGTGTACGCGCATCACACTTTGGTCGGCGTTTTAAATTATGGACGCAGTACCTTTGCTGTCTTTCATGCTTCGGAAGAGAGTCACATGTGAAACACATATGCCGATGGACAATAGGAGTGTCGAAGCTTGTCATCCATCACGGCAAAGCACTCCCTTCAGCATTTGCTCAACTGCCCACTTGACGCCTTCCCGGTACAGGCCAACAGTACCGTGGCTGCCGTAAGCTGCACCAGCGCCAATACGAGTGCATTTCGCAGATAAACTCACAAGAACTTCATCCATATCAAACGATACCATTGGGACATCCTGTTCACACACAGACAGTTCACCCGCTGACACACACTGGGAGGGCTGATCTGGTGGCGGCATAACACCGCTCTTGATGGGCACTAGAACACCAGAGTCGTCCAACTCCTTTTCAGACCGTCTGAACATTTGTTTGCTTACTCCAGAAGCATCAGCTACCTCTGCCTTTGACCTGTACTGGCTTGCAGTTGCTGGCGAATAATATGCCCTTACAGCCCGCATAGCGTGCTGTTGCCGTTCGCCTCTCGATCTCTTCTGTACAGACGAGTCACAAGCTCCGTTCTGTGCAGGACCATCAGTGGTGATGGGTGCTGAGTTGTTCCTACTCCTTGACCTTGTTCGAGGTAGGACAGTGGCTGCGTTCGATTATGCACTTGAATTGATTCATGAATCCCTTCGCATGCATTCAAGTCGTTCGATTTTCATGTCATGAGCCCTGGAATCGATTCGGAATCCATTCACGCTATTCACATGGGGTGATGTGAATAGCGTGAATCGATTCATGAATGGATTCATGAATCGATTCGCGGGCATAATCGAACGCACTCACCGTGACCAAAACACTATCCTGCAATACAACTAACAGACGAGTACAGTGATAACAATAGGGTACTTTTCACTAGCCATCCGATACTACACACTTTACAAAGTTCCCTTATATAGCGGGCAAGCTGGCTTCATAGTCCATCTTTTGCTCAATCTGCGTACTAGTCCATATTTTTCGCATTTTAGGGTGCGTTCTTAAAACCTCTCGGGAAAAGTACGAGAGCTGTTCTTATATCCTCTCCGAATTTAGGAGGCTCTCCAAGCTTTCCAAGCTTCAGAGGTGGTTGAAACTTGGAGATTCCTGCGGTTTGGGATCAGCGCATGCGAACTGCAGCTAAACGCCATGTGTTGATCATGAGTGTACGCATTTCCATTTTCGCATACACGCAATGCGTACTATACTCGTGGCACTCAAGATCGCGGCCCCTTTGGCGCTTCATAATGCTTCACATGTGCAGAATATCTCTGGTATAATTTGAGAACGGGTCTCGAAGAAGCTAGAGAATATACGAGGTATAAGAAAAGTGTATGGCATATCACTTACTGAGTCTCTGGTGTATTAGAATTTCCGACCGTGATACCAATAATAGCTGGCACGAACATTTTTCTAAGCACTCGCAGACTCCACTGCAGCCACTCATACGTCAGGTGCCTCAACTCAAACTTTCCAAATACGGTCTCTTCGCTGCACACGTCACTTCGAAATAAATAAATAATGGAATTCACCAAATTTTCGGGCATGGCCCATCCTCAGGGTGAAAACATTTAACACCCGAACAGTTTGTTTTTATTTTGATGTACTTGCTCTCTTACTATACTACAGTGCTGGCAACTGAAATCCGACCCCTGAGCGGTGCGCTCAGATCGCAGACCCAACACGGGATAGTAAAACTACGAAATAGAGACCGCTAGAATGTGAACTCATCGCTAAGGGGTCGGATTTCAGTTGCTAGCACTTTAGTAGTCTACAGGCGTTACGGCAGGGATATAGGGAGATAATTAATTTTCAACAAAAAATACGACACTACTCAAAGGCGAAAGCTACAAGAAAACTAGTTGAAGCAACGTACACAAAATATTTTACGCACTGAACCTTTGTTCAGTGTTTAAATATTTTGCGTACAGCTGTGACATGTTGGGGCGAGATCCCATCACTATGCCATGACGAATGCAGGACCTGTTGTGGTGCACAGTCCACGGATGAAATCCTACTTTACTCAATTTGTTACATATTGATTAATAAATAATGTTACATAATAATAGATCGCCTTGTACATGCATGAGTTGTGTGATCATGTGCTAGTGCACGAGTTGTGTGATCATGTGCTAGTGCATGCATCATGGTGGGTTGTGTGATCATGTGCTAGTAGAAGTACATGCATGGGTTGTGTGATCACGTGCTAGTAGTGCATGCATGGGTTGTGTGATCATGTGCTAGTAGCCACTGTACATGCAGGAGTGTGGGCCCACTATGCACCATGCACTCACGATTAGCGTACACCACGGTACATGTGAGTGGGGGCGGTTTATTGTTGAGAGGAATTGTGGATTAGGATGGTGGTAGCAGTGTGGCAAGTGCAATCTGGACTGCCGTAACACTTCTACAGTTACCATGTCAGTCGTGCTGAGCTGATGACACATGCAGCATGCGCAAGCTCACGTTAACGCTGTGACCATAGCTCTGCAGCCCCTACTCTCCCTGCTGTTTTGTTATTGTATATTCTGTTGTCTTCTCCCTTTCTGACGTGTACTTACTACTTAGTAAAATAAAATATAAATATAAAATGCATTGGCTACTTGCAGGGCTGCTTAATGCAGCCTTGTCGATAAATACTTTTATGCACCCTTGCTTTCTTATTTTTCCTCTCTCGTACTGAACCAGGTGGGAGCATCTTATCTACCGCTTTGGAGACAGTTCTCTAATTCGGTATGTGATTAAAGGTAATGACATACTATATACCAACCCGGTGCTATATACCGAGCGGACGCAAGACGTGGATCTCTGAGACACATCCTTCTCAGATCATGGCAGAGAAAGAAGAAAAAAACTACTGGTATGAAACCTGGTGATCACCCCAGGCTAAAATTAATTATCAATACTGTCTTAGAATAGTGGTACACTTTGATGTTTGAGAATGCTGCATGCTTACCACAGAATAATGTGAACATTTTATGAGCAGGAATTGCAGGAAAGACTGAATACATGCTATTGTTAGTGCACACACACACATTGCTGCGCGTGCTTTCGGTGATTAGTTATTAACAAGAACTTGTTTCCGCTTTCTAACTCTACCCATGTCATTTTACCTTATTCATGGACTGAAGAATTGTGGGCTGAAGAATTGTTTCTAGTTGTGTCTCTGCTTCATTTTTTAACGCTATGGCCATTTAACCTTTTTACCATGGAACTTCACGTATCATTTCTTGTATTGCATTGTATTCAGTTTCTTTAACTTGTGACTATCTATGCCTTTGTTGGGCAGGTGATGCTGTGCCTAGGTCTCCATTGGGCAGGTAATGCGCTCATAGAATAGCATGAAGGCTTGCTGTCGTTGAACCGTGTCAGGCTGCACTGGCCTCTTGCTGCGGTCACTCACACAATACCACTGGCCGGTGTCGGTGCTGTAGCTGTAGCGGTGGCGTGTCTTCACGTACGTCACGTAATGTCCACCGTAGCTGGTGCCGGAGTGGACAACATTGGCGAACAGCGAGTACTTGATCGGCTTGTCGCCTTCTCTCTGCAGGTTCAGAGAAGAGCATTAGCATTGGCAAGAACGCGCAGCGCCGCGTAACAAAACCATGTCTATTGAAAGTGCTACATCACAGCCAGTCTAGAGTGATGGCAACGCTTACTTCTGGATCCACTCGGGTCCAGTTTTTGTATGGATCCATTCATGTCCGGGTGGTTTCCCTTCACAGCATAGTGACACTTCCACCGGTTGTGACTGGACCAGACCCTCCCACTCAGGAACCCACTTCTGGTACAGGAAAATCTTACACCTGCGTGCGACACGGGATGCCAACACACCACATACACTATACTTATGGGCAATGTTTTCTTGACTTCTGATGTCACCACTTTCAACCCTATGGTTCACTTGGCAGCTTCACGATAGGACATGACGAAAATCATCCATCCGGCTTGCAAGCCAGATGATGGCAATTTAGGCAAATCTTAAAATTGACCACATGGTTGTATGATTGTAGTGTAACTGGGAATGATCAGGTCTGCTCTAGCATTTTCCTTATACATGTGGGTGCTGCTGGTTATGTTCCGGGATTGGATGATATCCAGGCACGTAGTGCTGGGTTTCCCTCTCAAAGGTGACCAGTTAATTGAGGTTCCACTGTAGAGGGGACGGTTTCAAATAGGACACAGGTTGCAAACCGGAACGGACTCAATATTCACTTTCTCTCTTGGTATTTTGATTAGAAAACATATGTCACAGTGAGACTACGATGTGTTATACTCCGAGCCAAAATTTCATGGCTCTGCGATGACCAGAAGCGCCATATCAAGCAGGTGAGTTTTTGACGTGTTGCTTCGCACTGCGACTTGAGTTTTACGACTTTCGACAAAATCAACTTCTTGTCGCAGGTAAACAGCGGCTCGCCTCTCGCCAATAAAGCACCGCATACCAATCAAAACTAATGGAAGCACACACAAGGCTTATTTTTACTCTGTACTGGCCATCGTGGAGCGATAGCAATTACCTAATTTCAGACCCAGAGTGAATTTGACGTGCACTCTAAAACGTGTCCGGTTTGGAGCCACCTCTGATTTGAACTTTTTTGAAGCGAAAAATTGGGCAACTTGGAGGCAATGGGTCAACACAAAGGAGTGGCTCAGTTCGATTGACTCTGGCCCCAGAGCAAACTTCAACATGCCAGTTTCCTTCCACAAACATATTTCGAGTGAAAAATCAACGCTGATGATCGGTTTGGGTCTATACAAATTTGGCTGTCAAAGCATCCCGGTATCGAGCCGTCCCCTCTACCCATGCACATCTGGGCATGTTTCGCCATGCATTGCACTTTCGTTTGCAGGCCATTCTGTCAGCTAGCCTTCCAAAGCTCTACAGGCGAGTCCTATTTGGAACCCCCCCCCCTTTTTTTTAATGAATTGCACACGATGTCTAGCCAATAAAAAGCATGCACGTCATCTATAGTGCCATAGTTCATGCTATTAGCAGCACTTCTTACTAACCTTGACGCATCTCTCGTTGCAATACTTCTCTATGTCCAGCTTGAGGGGAAACGGAATATGGTCTTGACACTTGCGGTCAGTTTCAGGGTCCGTCCGTTGGAGATGTAGGACAAGTACCTCTGGAATAGCGCTGAGCTTTTTCTGGCTCTCAACACAACGATTGTCTGATAGCATGCCTGTGTGCAAATAACAACGGAACAACAACAGCGTATCATACCTGCAGGTTGGCCCCTATGCTGCACATTTGCTTTTCACAGCAACACTACGGGTGAAGGAGGTGTTGCTATTGCGGCGGCGGTGTTCACCTGATCACTGTTTCCACAACATGAGGAGTACTGGCTGCAGGACTAAACTGCACAACCAAGTTCAGGGCGCCACCCAGTTTTCATAGAACTGGGGCCAGCAGTTCTACCGGTAATGCCTACTTCTCAACTATAGTACCAGACAGCCCACTGTGATTTATATGGGAAACTCATAATGCGCTAACAATTGGTTCAACTACCAGTTCATTGCCTTGGATCTGATCATTGCCTTGGATCTGATCATTGCCTTGGGTCTGATCATTGCCTTGGTCTGATCATTGCCTTGGGTCTGATCATTGCCTTGGGTCTGATCATTGCCTTGGGTCTGATCATTGCCTTGGGTCTGATACCTGCTCAAGTACTCACCTTGCTCTGTTCGGGCCTCATCCAGGTTCTGGCAAGAAGAACATGGTTGAAGAAGGGATTCCGGGGGAATAGACTCAATGGCAAAGTAGTCTCCCAGCCAGTCTTCAACGTTGAGCTTTCTACTTGTGCTGTTTTGCCTCTTTGACGCTGCTTTGCCTGCTGCCGGCAATGATATTGGTGCTGGAGCTGTTGGTGGTGATGCTATTGTTGCCACTGATGCCACTGCTGCCACTGATGCTGCTGCTGCCACTGATGCTGCTGCTGCTGCTGACGGTGGTGGTGATGCTGCTGTCAGTGATGTTGTTGCTGTTGCGGCTGCTGCTGGTGCTGTCAGTGATGTTGCTGCTGCTGGTGGTGGTGGTGCAGTTAGTGGTAGTTGCAGCAGTGGCTGTGGTCCTGATCCTGCTGCTGTTGCTGTTGCTGTTTCTGCTGATACTGCCCCCGGTACTATCAACGTTGGTGCTGGTGTTAATGGTGCTATCGATACAGTTGCTTCTGTTGGTGGCGGTACAGTTGGTGGTACTGCTGGTGGCGGCGATGGTCCTGCTACTGCTTGTTCTGTTGCTGCCATTGCTGGTGCTGGTGCTGATGGTGTCAGGGTTGGTGATGCTGCCGCTGGTAGTGGCAGGGTTGGTGGTGATGGTGATCGCACTGCTACTTTGTGTACTGGTGGCGAAGGTGATCTAGGCGGCGCCAGCGGCAATGCTGCTGCTGTTCCTGATTGCACTGCTGCTGTAGCTGCTGCTATTTGTGGTAGTGGCGGTGGCGGTGGTGGCAGTGCTGGTGTTTGTGCTGATGATGCTGCTGCTGTTGCTGCTGCTATTGGTGGTAGTGGCGGTGGCGGTGGCGGTGGTTGCGGCGCTGGTGTTGGTGCTGATGATGATGCTGCTGCTGTAGCAGCTTCACCAGCTAGTGCTGTTGCTGCCTGTGCTTCAGCTGCACCTGGTGCCGAGGCTTGCGCTGGTACCGGTGGTTCACTGTTATACCTAGATCTGATCTTTGATTGTCTTTCTGCATCTTGGACGAGTGTAGTACCAAATTGCGGGTCAGTATCGGGGGCAAGATGATCAAGTTGCGGCATGTCAGTGACGGTTGCCAACAGCGCTGTTGCTGAAGCTGGCTGGTGAATGGCATCTCCTCCTTCTGTTGTGTTTGTTCTGTTCTCTTCAACAACACTGCTAGATGGATCACTTCTTGGGACAGCTACACATGATTTTGGTGCACCAAGTGAGCTGGAACATTCTGCATCGTTGAGAGATTTATCTGCTTCAACACCATCAGCTCTCTGTCCTGGTTGCATTGCCTCCTCACAAGCTCTTTGGTCAGGTCGCGTTGCCTTATCGTCAGCTCCGGCTTGGTCTGGGTTTGCTGTCTTGTCACCTGTTAAAGTTGGACTTTGGTCTGCATGTGCAACTGTCCGGGCAGTTTCACAATCCACGTCTCCAGTTGGTGTGCCATCATCCTTGTGCTGGTTAGCAGTACGCACCTGCGCGTGCAGCCGTGTTGCTGGAGAGCCTTCTTTGCTAGCACTAACCGCCGCGCTATCCGTTTCTAGTGGGACACCTGGCAGTCCGGTTTGTAGCAAGGGCAGATTTTGGTCCTGCTCATCAGTGAGATAATTGTGTATGGAGTCTGGGGATCCTGTCTCTCCATCAGTGGGACAATTGTGAATGGAGTGTGGCAATCCTGTCTCTTTAGTAGTGGTATCACATGGACTTTTACGCGATAATGTGGAGCTCATATCTGTTGCTTCGTGTGCATCAGCATCAGGAGGATCTGTGTCTGCTGTTGCTGGGCAATTGCCAGTGATGTTATCACCTGTATCCTGTTTGCCTGATGCGTCTCTGGTCTGAGCGGTGCCACCTGTGCTGGATTGTTTGTCAGACAATGCTACTTCGTTGTCTTGTTCACCATTCCCTTGCGAAGGTGATCTAGGCGGCGCCAGCGGCAATGCTGCTGCTGTTCCTGATTGCACTGCTGCTGTTGCTGCTGCTATTTGTGGTAGTGGCGGTGGCGGTGGTGGCAGTGCTGGTGTTTGTGCTGATGATGCTGCTGCTGTTGCTGCTGCTATTGGTGGTAGTGGCGGTGGCGGTGGCGGTGGTTGCGGCGCTGGTGTTGGTGCTGATGATGATGCTGCTGCTGTAGCAGCTTCACCAGCTAGTGCTGTTGCTGCCTGTGCTTCAGCTGCACCTGGTGCCGAGGCTTGCGCTGGTACCGGTGGTTCACTGTTATCCCTAGATCTGATCTTTGATTGTCTTTCTGCATCTTGGACGAGTATAGTACCACATTGCGGGTCAGTATCGGGGGCAAGATGATCAAGTTGCGGCATATCAGTGACGGTTGCCAACAGCGCTGTTGCTGAAGCTGACTGGTGAATGGCATCTTCTCCTTCTGTTGTGTTTGTTCTGTTCTCTTCAACAACACTGCTAGATGGATCACTTCTTGGGACAGCTACACATGATTTTGGTGCACCAAGTGAGCGGGAACCTTCTGCATCGTTGAGAGATTTATCGTCGAATGTTGGTGATGTGGCCATGTTTGTGTCAGGGGAGAACTTTCTCTCAGTTGCAGGTTTGTCCTCTTTGATAACTGGCCCGTTCACCCCCTCAGTTGCAGTGGGTACTTCCTTCGATGTCAGTATTTGGTGAGACTGACCAACATCCTCACGAGCATGCCCCTCTGCCACAACACCATCAGCTCTCTGTCCTGGTTGCATTGGCTCCTCACAAGCGCTTTGGTCAGGTCGCTTCGCCTTATCACCAGCTCCGGCTTGGCCCGCGTTTGTTGTCTTGTCACCTGCTGAAGGTGGACTTTGGCCTGCATGTGCATGTGCAAGTACTGTGTGGGCAGTCTCACAATCCCCTTCTCCAGTTGGTGTGTCACAATCCGGCTTATGCTGTTTAGCTGTACGTACATGTGTGTCAAGCCGTGTTTCTGGAGAACCTTCCATGCTGGCATTGACCACCACACTAGTGGTAGCACATGGGCCATTACGCAGTAGTGTGGAGTTCGAGAACCCTGCCTTGCTCTCGTCATCCGATGTTCCGTGCACACCAGCAGCACGAGGATTGGTGTGTGCTGTTGCTGGGCAATTGCCAGCCATGTCAACACCTGTATCCTGTTCGTCTGATGCTGTCTGAGCGGTGCCACCTGTGCTGGAATGTTTGTCAGACAGTGATACTTCCTCGGCTTTTTCAACATTTCCTTGCCGATCTTCTGCAGTATCTGCTGTAGAACTGGAACATGTCCCATCAGGTGATGATGGTTCTTCTTTCAAGCCAGATGATTGCACAGCGTTAGAGGCTGCTGGTGTGTCGCCACCGGGCTGTTCAGCTGTGCTCAGGGTTACACTGGGCGAGCCCTCACCTTGCTCGTTCGGACTGGTTAGCATTGCGGAGTTGTTCTGACCAGAAGAACTGCTATCGGACGACGAGACATCACTACCAGCTTTGGCAATGACATCACTACCAGCTTTGGCAATGACATCACTACCAGCTTTGGCAATGACATCACTACCAGCTTTGGCAATGACATCACTACCAGCTTTGGCGATGGACGATGCATGTACATTGTACGCATCTTCTGTCACAACAATGTCGTTTCTCATGCCTGCTGCTGCTACTGCTGGTATTGCATTTGCACTTGTTGCAGCTGCCACTCCACTTGTGTGTCCGGCTTCTACATCTCCACAGGCGCCCTTGACAACCCCTTTGACGCGTTGAATGCAGCCCGGGGGTTGTGCTGCTGCGTTCACCTCACCTTCGGCTGTTCGACTTGCACTGGGTGGACTAACCAATGTCTCAGGCCGTGCATCTCCGTCATCCTGGCTTTCAGGTTGGCTCTGCAGTCAAGCACCAGAAGAAGATGCATGGTCAATGACCCAACCGGTGTGATCACTACACGGTGAATAGAAAGTGGCAAACATACTCAGAATTCAAGACTACACCAGAGTGAAACCTCTCCCACTAAATGCATACCTTGTTGCCGCCGCTGTGAGGAACTGTCCAGCTGCGAGCGGCTGTGCTACTGATACGTTCCACGAGTCTTTTTTCCCTCTGCACAGAGCCAACCCACAGGTCCAGGCTCACCTCGCGCCCCTCTCCTGAACCAGTCTGCCTCTTCGTCACCTATTTGTAACAAGCCAGAGTAGAAAGAATAGGTCAGAGCACTAATATTGTATTAATTGCATCCTGTCAAGTTTCTGAGTGGTGAACTTGACACATGTGATCATGGTGTTCATGCACATGACCATATATTCACCGCTTCACTGAGTTACATCCACGGTTACCACTTGCAGATGGGATGCGGTCTGGCAGAGAGATAATACACAACAGAGTGAACTGCTTCAATTCTTCACGCGAGCTCGTGGAATATATCAACTGAAACTGGATGTGATCAAGAACACCATGTACATGCCAGTCTGAGCCTAGAAGAGTAGAAGAGTAGAAGAGTAGAAGAGTAGAAGAGTAGAAGAGTAGAAGAGTAGAAGAGTAGAAGAGTAGAAGAGTAGAAGAGTAGAAGAGTAGAAGAGTAGAAGAGTAGAAGAGTAGAAGAGTAGAAGAGTAGAAGAGTAGAAGAGTAGAAGAGTAGAAGAGTAGTAGAAGAGTAGTAGAAGAGTAGAAGAGTAGTAGAAGAGTAGAAGAGTAGAAGAGTAGTAGAAGAGTAGAAGAGTAGTAGAAGAGTAGAAGAGTAGTAGAAGAGTAGAAGAGTAGAAGAGTAGAAGAGTAGAAGAGTAGAAGAGTAGAAGAGTAGTAGAAGAGTAGAAGAGTAGAAGAGTAGAAGAGTAGAAGAGTAGAAGAGTAGTAGAAGAGTAGAAGAGTAGAAGAGTAGAAGAGTAGTAGAAGAGTAGAAGAGTAGAAGAGTAGAAGAGTAGAAGAAGAGTAGAAGAGTAGAAGAGTAGTAGAAGAGTAGAAGAGTAGAAGAGTAGAAGAGTAGAAGAGTAGAAGAGTAGAAGAGTAGAAGAAGAGTAGAAGAAGAGTAGTAGAAGAGTAGTAGAAGAGTAGTAGAAGAGTAGTAGAAGAGTAGTAGAAGAGTAGTAGAAGAGTAGTAGAAGAGTAGTAGAAGAGTAGTAGAAGAGTAGTAGAAGAGTAGTAGAAGAGTAGTAGAAGAGTAGTAGAAGAGTAGTAGAAGAGTAGTAGAAGAGTAGTAGAAGAGTAGTAGAAGAGTAGTAGAAGAGTAGTAGAAGAGTAGTAGAAGAGTAGTAGAAGAGTAGTAGAAGAGTAGTAGAAGAGTAGTAGAAGAGTAGTAGAAGAGTAGTAGAAGAGTAGTAGAAGAGTAGTAGAAGAGTAGTAGAAGAGTAGTAGAAGAGTAGTAGAAGAGTAGTAGAAGAGTAGTAGAAGAGTAGTAGAAGAGTAGTAGAAGAGTAGTAGAAGAGTAGTAGAAGAGTAGTAGAAGAGTAGTAGAAGAGTAGTAGAAGAGTAGTAGAAGAGTAGTAGAAGAGTAGTAGAAGAGTAGTAGAAGAGTAGTAGAAGAGTAGTAGAAGAGTAGTAGAAGAGTAGAAGAGTAGAAGAGTAGAAGAGTAGAAGAGTAGAAGAGTAGAAGAGTAGAAGAGTAGAAGAGTAGAAGAGTAGAAGAGTAGAAGAGTAGAAGAGTAGAAGAGTAGAAGAGTAGAAGAGTAGTAGAAGAGTAGAAGAGTAGAAGAGTAGAAGAGTAGTAGAAGAGTAGAAGAGTAGAAGAGTAGTAGAAGAGTAGAAGAGTAGAAGAGTAGTAGAAGAGTAGAAGAGTAGTAGAAGAGTAGAAGAGTAGAAGAGTAGTAGAAGAGTAGAAGAGTAGTAGAAGAGTAGAAGAGTAGAAGAGTAGTAGAAGAGTAGAAGAGTAGAAGAGTAGAAGAGTAGTAGAAGAGTAGAAGAGTAGAAGAGTAGAAGAGTAGTAGAAGAGTAGAAGAGTAGAAGAGTAGAAGAGTAGAAGAGTAGAAGAGTAGAAGAGTAGAAGAGTAGAAGAGTAGAAGAGTAGAAGAGTAGAAGAGTAGAAGAGTAGTAGAAGAGTAGAAGAGTAGAAGAGTAGAAGAGTAGAAGAGTAGAAGAGTAGTAGAAGAGTAGAAGAGTAGAAGAGTAGAAGAGTAGTAGAAGAGTAGAAGAGTAGAAGAGTAGAAGAAGAGTAGAAGAGTAGAAGAGTAGAAGAGTAGAAGAGTAGAAGAAGAGTAGAAGAGTAGAAGAAGAGTAGAAGAGTAGTAGAAGAGTAGTAGAAGAGTAGTAGAAGAGTAGTAGAAGAGTAGTAGAAGAGTAGTAGAAGAGTAGTAGAAGAGTAGTAGAAGAGTAGTAGAAGAGTAGTAGAAGAGTAGTAGAAGAGTAGAAGAGTAGAAGAGTAGAAGAGTAGAAGAGTAGAAGAGTAGAAGAGTAGAAGAGTAGAAGAGTAGAAGAGTAGAAGAGTAGAAGAGTAGAAGAGTAGAAGAGTAGAAGAGTAGAAGAGTAGAAGAGTAGAAGAGTAGAAGAGTAGAAGAGTAGAAGAGTAGAAGAGTAGAAGAGTAGAAGAGTAGAAGAGTAGAAGAGTAGAAGAGTAGAAGAGTAGTAGAAGAGTAGTAGAAGAGTAGTAGAAGAGTAGTAGAAGAGTAGAAGAGTAGTAGAAGAGTAGAAGAGTAGTAGAAGAGTAGTAGAAGAGTAGTAGAAGAGTAGTAGAAGAGTAGTAGAAGAGTAGTAGAAGAGTAGTAGAAGAGTAGTAGAAGAGTAGTAGAAGAGTAGTAGAAGAGTAGTAGAAGAGTAGTAGAAGAGTAGTAGAAGAGTAGTAGAAGAGTAGTAGAAGAGTAGTAGAAGAGTAGTAGAAGAGTAGTAGAGTAGAAGAGTAGTAGAGTAGTAGAGTAGAAGAGTAGTAGAGTAGAAGAGTAGAAGAGTAGAAGAGTAGAAGAGTAGAAGAGTAGAAGAGTAGAAGAGTAGAAGAGTAGAAGAGTAGAAAAGACCGGTTTTACCTCCTGTAGTATCAGCTCACACTTACTAGTATTTGAAACACTCACCCTTCATTTGATTAATAAATCACACTCTATATTTCACACTGCCCCTTACACGTATAAAATATTCTCCCTACCTAGCTATCATCGCCAAGGTAGATTTCCTTCACAATTGTCTCATGAAAATGGGGTAGGATGGTGTTGAATGTCCACCTCGTTCATACCATTCAGGCGCGTACGCAGGGGGGGGGGGGGGGGGTCCCGTTGCCCGGAAACCCCCCAAATGTTCCAAACGAGCAACGTTTTTGGGCATACTAATATTTTGGTAGGGCGCACGATCGATCTGGCAAGAATGCAAAACTTCAACAGATCGTAACTCAGTCAAATCTGGCTCAAATCCAACGATCCAAATATCCAGGTCGAATAGAAAACTCTCAGCGGTCGGTTGAAACAATTTGCGACGCGCTGCGAGCGAAAAAATGCAACGAAATTCGTTATGCAGAACCTCTCTACTAAATCGTTCGTAAGTTGAGCCGTGATCTCGCAATTTCAAAAGCGCGCAGTGCCGGTGCGACTCGAGTATCGAGAATTTGAGACTTTCGTCACGCTGATTTGCTCAAATTTGCAGGGGCTTCACTTGTGATATTTTCAAGAGTACGCAGCAAACGAATCGAAACTCTGCGATCAGGAGAAACGAAATCGCTGGAGCAGGACGTGTTCGGGCCTTTGGCCCAGTTTGGGGAATTTTTCGCACCGTTGCTGCACTCTACCGCTATAGCATATAGCGCTGGATACGCTGGATATGAACATGGCTGTACCATGTGTACTGTGTCCTGGCTATCATGTTCGACCTCATTCTCTCCCTGGACGGCCTGGTACCTTTCCCCTTCCAGGAAGCCTAAGATAATGAAGATTGAGTGAGTAGAACTGAAGTTATGATCCAAAGAACACGAAAAAATGCATAATTTTGTAAATTTCCTAGGGCTCTTTAGAAAGAGTTAAAACGAGTCATTGTTTGTGATTCGGTTGGAAACCCCCCTAGAGGTGACCCTGCGTACGCGCCTGCTATTCATGGCTGAAATAACGACCGGTTGTGGTAGGTGCATCAGATCATCAATATTTAACTTGTGTATCCTTGAAGAATGGTCCAGTCTTTCCCCACAGCAAGACATGAAGAGTACATACAAGCAACCCCAAGAGTGTGTAACTGCCTGCGCAACCTCTATACAGTGTGATGACGACACAACTTCACATCACGTGACATGGTTCTAAAGGCTACACTTGCAAACATTGCAAACGGTGACCACCAAGAGAGTTGAACCCAAAGCAGGGTTGCGTACAACCCTGTATCTATCATGCACGGGGTGCGAATAATGTGTACAGGTTTGTCACGACGGTGATGTGAAGTTCTGCCGTTGAAGACCCCATAGCTGGAGATGCTCACTCTTGGGGGTTATGTACTCTTGATGAAATGTGCAGCTCACCGGATAGGTGAAGGTTACACGGTCCTCGCTACCACCAGCAGCTAGTACTTTTTGTTCCGTTTGAAACCCAAGTACCCTATAATCTGCTGAGTATCCATGTGCTCAATCCAATTTTAGGAGATTTCTGTCATTGATGCAACGAATTGTAACATTTTCTCGAATATTGCTTTGGCAAATGAACGAATACTCTATTTTCCCGATATGCCTCGATCACTTCAGTCCATTAGACACAACAGTCATGTTTCATACAGATCAAGTGGATAGTCGATAATCAATGGTGAACGAGCAAAACAAGCCTTACAGTTCTCAGAACTTGGCACTGTGTGAGATTCATCCAGTGTAATTCCTACACTTTCATCTTAGGCCCACATACAAGAACTGTAATGTTTTATAGAATAGGATCCGAGTCCACAAAGAACGAAACAGTTCTGTCCGCAGATTGAGTATTTCGCTCCTGCTCTTGTAGCAGTTGAGCACTCTCGTGTGAGGTAGTGCCTTTGTTGTTTGCGTTATGCAGAGCTCACTGACTTGTCAGTTTGAGCACTCTGGCAAGGTATGTTCGGGCCTGGCTTAAATCTGGCTTTGGGATCTTCATTGCTATCGGGTTCGGCCTCATTTTGTCTGTGCTGTGCTAATGAGTCCACAAAGGACGAAACAGTTCTGTCCGCAGATTGAGTAGAATAGGAGTATTTTGGCAACTACTGTTCAAGAGGCTAAATAAACTACCATGGACGTTGGGTCTATAGGCTTCCGAAGTCAAGACACCATGCTTCTTGACAATGAACAGTAAAAGACCAAGTGATGACAAGCAAAAGTTGCGCTGCGCTGCCTACACGTTACTGTCGTGCTGCCTACACGTATTGTGTTTTCAGTGGTCACCGCTTCACTTTGACTGGAGATTGTTCAAACTGGCAAGGAGAACTTTCTGTTTTGGTCTTGAAGAATTTTCTGGTTTGTTGATACTAGTAGCTGCGGGTTTTCTGCGGAGTGTACACCAGCACCAAAAGATATGTTACGATTGGCTTCCTTCTGGACAAGGAAAACTAGAGTCGATCTGTCTCAGAGCCAAAGAAACCAGCAATCGTCACAATAGAATAACAGAGAAACCAATTATTGTTTCTCGGCTACAGACTAAAAAGGAACGACATTACCGTAACACCAATGTCTAAACAAAAAAATCAGCTATTTTTAAAGTATTTTTCTCCTTCTCTACACGGCGAAAACTAGAGAACTCAGCAGCAAGTTGAAAGATAATGAACTTCGCGGCTTCTTTTTTCCTGCTCTCTAGTAAAAATCGTGAGTGACTTGACTTTTGTTTGTCACCACTTGGCACATTTGCTATGCAGTTTTAGACTGAGCTGTGATGGCAGACTTTGTTGACCTATTCTACTCTGCATGATTAGCTCAGAGTGACTGGACATAGCACTCAGCAAGCAAGATAGAGCGCAGCAGAATGTGGCAAGTGAAGCTCTATCCCAGCATAATGTCCACGAGCTGCGCAACGTAGGACCAACAGATGGACCCTACATAGCTACAGGAAGGCCAAAAGAGCCAAGTCCTGACAAGCCCAAAGATGACGGCGCAACCCCAAGTCCTCCACCCAAGTCCTCCAGCAACGCCAAGTCCTCCAGCAACGCCAAGTCCTCCAGCAACGCCAAGTCCTCCAGCGATCCCAAGTCCTCCAGCGATCCCAAGTCCTCCAGCAACCCCAAGGCCTCCAGCCAAACCCCAAGTCCTCCAGCCAAACCTCAAGTCCTCCAGCCGAACCCCAAGTCCTCCAGCCGAACCCCAAGTCCTCCAGCCGAACCCCAAGTCCTCCAGCCGAACCCCAAGTCCTCCAGCCGAACCCCAAGTCCTCCAGCCGAACCCCAAGTCCTCCCGCCGAACCCCAAGTCCTCCCGCCGAACCCCAAGTCCTCCCGCCGAACCCCAAGTCCTCCCGCCGAACCCCAAGTCCTCCCGCCGAACCCCAAGTCCTCCCGCCGAACCCCAAGTCCTCCCGCAACCCCAAGTCCTCAAGCAATACCAAGCCTTCGCCTCACACAACCCCAAGTCTTCAAGCAACCCGAAGGCCTCAAGCAACCCGAAGGCCTCAAGCAACCCCAATGCCTCAAGCAACCCCAAGGCCTCAAGCAACCCCAAGGCCTCAAGCAACCCCAAGGCCTCAAGCAACCCCAAGGCCTCAAGCAACCCCAAGCCGCCTCGAGCAAACCCAAAGTCTCAAGCAAATCCAAAGTCCACAGAAGGCACGTGAAGCATACTCGGGTTGCTTAGCAATGACAACCCCGAGAGAATATTCTGCAGGCAAAAGCAGAACTTTGAACATTACCTGTGAATTAAGAGACATTCACAGCACTTCGTTTAGAACATCCCCACATCAATTACTGCACCGAATTACTATACCTCTAGAAATCTATTTTATATTTCCAATATATTCATGATCTTGCCAACTTGTATCCACAGTTCCCTAGAACTTTCAATACGTTTGAAGGACAACCTGAACAGAAACAGAGTATTGTGTACCTTCCTACCACCAGGTCAAAAATAGCATGATGAGAAATTGGCATCAGGATGATTGATAACTAGTAACTAGAGAATGGGGTTTTACGTGCAAGGTACCGTTATGTTCTGTACCAACCACGCACGTACGCACGCAGCACGCCCCCTCCCCCCCCAAAAAAACATGCAAGCATGTGACACATTCATACACACACAGATAGACACACCTGTACACACAGTTTATTTCTACACTGCACTGTCTAAACACTCACAGCTTTGCACCGACAGCATGTCCGTGTGGTCTCAATCTCCAAAGCAAATACTCGATCCACAAATGTCGTCTTCCGGGCAAGCTCCTTGAAACACACTGCAGAAAAGTAAGCGAAAGATCAAGCAATAAGCACACAATGGCTATTATGCTGTGTAATGTATCTTTCCTTGGTCCCAATCTGTCTTTCCCATGCCATTGTACAATCATTGTACCATCAACATTACAGTATTTTCCAGTTGTATGGCAACCCCATACTTGAGACTCCATTCTTCAGACCCCATACTTGAGACCCCATACTTGGGACCTTGATTTTTGAACTCCGGGTTGTAAGTCGACTTTCCCTTTTTAGGTCATGAAAGGCTTGTAACCAGTCAAATACTAGTAACAGCAACTGATACATGCAAATTGCACGGTGCTAAACTGGATGATACCAACAAAGCGTACATACCACTTTTAACATAGTCATCATAGTCTGTGCCACACTGCTTTTCAAGTTCCTTTCGTGTCGCCTCCTGCAGGCACTGAAGGAGAAAAGCAAAAGAAAATTTCCCAAAGAATCAGACAGTAGACCAAAAGAGGAGGGATTTTGCTTGTTTCTTGCACTTTGCAGGAGAGACCACTTGACTTTCTAGTGAGTGAGCAAACATATCTATGTGTAGGTGTGTGTATGTTAATGTGTGTATGTGTATGTATGTTTGTGTGTGTGTGTGTGTGCATGCGCATGTATAGGCATGTACGCGCACGTGAAGCACGAAATCAGCAATGAACGCTACTTCAAGGACACAAACTTTCTGTTACTGACCCGTTTCTGCTTTGATCCAGGCGGTCTCCTTGTCATTAAAATGTGACATTCCCAGCGAGTGAATGCTGTCCCAAACTACTCTTCTACTACAACACACCTGACCAATGGTCCAACGTCAAAAAAGGCAAATGGGGATAGCTGCGAGACCCGGGAAAATATCGCGGTGAACAGGAATAACCACAAAAATAATCATCTCTGTCGCCGTACGAATACGCTGGTTGCCGGGAAGTGATGCTCGACAGAAAACCACAGATTCAGTGCACATGTGTCATGTCCCTGGACGCTACAGACATGACACCTGTACACTGACAGACCTGTGGCAACAGGATATTCCTAGTAAGCAGCTTTGTCACGTTTGAGGTGTTACCTTCTTTTGGTACAGTGTGGTTTGGTTAGTGTTTTATCCCACGTGCTTGTCACGGAGATTGAGCGACACGCGCGGTCTCACACCGGTGACATGCCGTCTTGGCATGGCACACCATGTGACTCAACGCCGGAACCTGGTCAGGCACATGTAGGTTCTCGCGTTGCACGTTTCCTGGAAGTGCTTCACTTCCTGGAAATGTGACTCCAGGCGTTGTGCAAAACCATGTCGCTACGACGTTCTACAGGTGTCCACGATGCCTCGGTGTTTTGTACAAAGAACCAAGACTAGCAAGAGCTAAGTGCAAAGAATGAAGAGCCAAGACCAGTGCAAGAGCCAAAACCGCCACCGCGCCAGGTCAGGGTATCGGCGCAAGCAAGACCAAGAATGCCGCAGAATGTACCCATAAGAAGCCGCTGAGCAATGGCACGTTGGGTGAGCGGGCTCCCCAATGTGGTCTTCAAATAGGCCTTGTATGCTGATGTGGGTGAGCGAGCTCCCCATGTCCCTTTTCGGTCTTTCTTCTCTCCTTGATAAATCTTCTTTCCTTTCAGCTCTCATTCTGTCTTTTCTCTTTCTTCTCAAATGATTACTGTACGTGCATTCTGCTTTTCTGCTGGAAGCGTATATTCCGGTTTTGCCAGTTCCACCAATTCCTGGAAATAGATCGTACCATTCTATGCAATGGTCACGCCATATCTGCTAGTTAAGTCGAATACTAAGTCTCAGCTCTCAGTCTTTTTTTAAACTTTGAGCTCGGATTTGCAATGACTACTTATAATGTGAAACTAACAGTCTTTGACTGTTGATCGTATGGGGTTGAACTTGGACCAAGCCAGCTATACTGGCTGGCCCCTGGGTTGTGCTGGACTCGTCGCGAGGCCACACGTCTATGCAGTTGCCACTCGTAGTGACTTCTGGGCGCGGTCACTGAGTGCAGGGATGCGACACAGGCACTACGAAGTTCCGGACATCATGGCACGAGTGGTGGTTTATCGTCCTCTCTAACTGTGACAGAAGCACGCTGTCATTGAGCCGGCACAACATCACCATACACAGCTCTCCTGGCATATTCACCTTGGAGTTTTTTTCCGCTGATGAGTTCACCATTCTGCACACAGACATTGCTTTCTGGCCCTATCCACCGTCATCGTGGTTCATGTTTAGTTGTAGGCAGGGTGCCGCTGAAGATGCGTCGAATCCTGCATCCGTCCCACACCTCTCCGTCCTGTGTGCATTCATGGCTGTGATGTGCTTCAAAATACATTATGATTTACTGAAGTATTTGCCAATGACGACGTAGCATTTCCTGGAATCGACTCTGCAGGAGAATTCTTCTGGTTTATCGGCTTCTCCTGCTTCCTGTCCCTGCTGGTACTCCTTGCAAAGGTATGGACTGTCACACGTGCACGGCTCATGGACAAGAGTGCGTATCGCATCGCCAGAACCGTCTTTATCTACTGTGTGGTGGCGTTGGTTATGTATGTACACATGGTATGCTGTGTCGGATACAGGGAGTGAAGTCCTGTATGTGTATGCCTCACCAGCAGGCTATGGATTGGTCAAGTCTTCTCCATAATCCATGCCTGGTTTGCTACGCTGTAGCGTTCTCCGTTCAGAGCAATGAGGATAGGCGCCGCTTCTTCAAAGCCTTGTGGTTGCTATACTCCCGGGCCATGGTTTCTGCTTCCTCCTATCGTGAGCCTGATCAGTGCTCAGGTTGTGCAGGACTAGAAACGCCTACGGTCACCTGGTGTTTGTGTGAAGATTTATCACAGATTGACTCGTGGACTGGAAATCACAACGGTTGTGAGAATACAGGTCAAACCGCCTCGATTAATTCTCACGGAGACCGAGTTCCCGCGGTTCCAACACTCGTCTGATACCAGGCCACATCACCCCGAACTGTTTGTGAGCTCCAAGGCGGGAGAGTTGCTGGCAATCCAGAGGCTGTTGGCATAAACATTTGGGTTTTCTCCCAAAGGGACACTCCGGACCCCAATCATACCACTCCCCTGTGACGCCCCAGCCATTATAAGAAATCAGGACAATGGACAGGACATTCGTAGCAACATCAAGACATGGATGGAGGGGCTGTCTCCCAAGTACAGGGAAATTGCTTGGCGGAGCGACGCACTCAGCTAGCTGAGAACCGGGATAGTGATTTGGTGCCGTCACTTTCAGTTGTGGCCAAGGTCGCCGCTCGCGGAAGTTTGACAAGCCCCGAGTGGATTTAGAACAAAAAAACGCGCGGTGAAATTTGTTACAGAGAAGAGAGGGAGAGGAAGACAACCTCCGATGTCATCAGCTTGCTTCATCTTCCTCTCTCGAGCACCTCCTGAGCCCATGTGACCCCTGTGGCAGTGGCTCTACAGGACAGGATAGGACAGAATATGTGTGCGTGTGTGTGTGTGTGTGTGTGTGTGTGCGTGCGTATGCGCGTGCGTGTGTGTGTACATGAGGGTTTGGTGTATTTAGTGTGTGCAGCTAGCTCTACTGTAGTCGACTCACAGCAAGCTCTTCGACATGAATGGCCTCAAAGAGATGTCTCAGGAGAGAGCCAGCGTCCTGTTGCTCATAGCAAGTTTGATACTGGTCAAATCTACAAGATCCCATTGACAGAGACAAGTGGACATTGTCACATGCACACACACACACACACACACACACACACACACACACACACACACACACACACACACACACACACACACACACACACACATACACACGCACACACACGCGTGCATGCACGCACACATGCACGCACACATGCACGCCCCCCCCCCCACACACACACATGCACACGCACACACACACACACACACACACACACACGCGCACGCACACACGCGCACACACGCACACACACACACACACACACACACACACGCACACACCGGAGAAAAAACGGAGCAAGAGTCACGCAAGCCAATGCAACTAACAAAGAGAGCCAGGCAAGAAGGCTGCTGAAATGTGTACGTATGTATGCAAAGGCCAGCTGCTGGGAGAATTTGCGCATGCGCACAATGGCGCATCCGTGAGCTGGCATGAACACGCGCATGATAGAGATCAGCCTACGATACATTGGTAACACTACGTCTCCGCGTTAAACATAATTTAGTTACGCGGAACTTGAGAAACACACACACACACACATCTTCAGCATCATCATGCGAGGAAGGCAGACTGCCACAGTCCAACAACCCTATTTCATGCATCCTTGCCCATTCACAGCAAGGTTACTGTAAGAACATAACAGAAACCTCTGCCAGGACTAGGTTGTGTAGAAAACTAGAAATCGCGGCTGAAGATAATTGTTACCAGAACAAGAGATGCCAGGTTTTTGGGACACTGGGACACATGGCACGGACAGCTTGCTCGATGAACTTGAAAAGGCAACAGTGTCATGCCATGGGTCTTCGGGCACTGCATTGCAGAATGTCTGCACTCACCGGTAGCTGAGGCTGTGGTACAAGGGACTAGGATTGACAGAGATGCCTCCCCAGTGATGCTTGCCAGTGTCAGGCTTCTGAATATCTTGCATCAACTCACGTAGTGACCTTAGGGCACTACGTTGACCAAATGTGCGGCAGAATTCTTTACTCGTGAATTCCAGAGGTGCCTATGTAACAGAGAGACATGTGAAATGAGCCAATGCATATTGCCTTGCGCAGCACATTGTCCATCGCTAGTGTACATTACATCGCTAGTGCCCACCGCTAGTTCTCATCGCTAGTGCCCACCGCTAGTTCTCATCGCTAGTGCCCACCGCTAGTGCATGCACTTATGTTATGTTGGTCCTTTCATGCATAATTATTATTTTGATATCTACAGTACTAAATAGGTTTGCCGAGTCGAAGGTTCGATGGACTTCTCGTGTGCTCTGGATGGCAGTCGTGAGTCAGTCAAGTGTCAAGTCAAGTCGGCGGAATAGCGCGAGCTCCAGTGTGGGGAGCAAACCTTTTCTTATCTGCAGTACTGCTCCATGAAATCCAGTAGCGTCACTCAAGTACTCGCCGGGCGTTGTGCAGCCCTGGACCTGTGAACACCGGGTTGTGAACTGGTGCAAGACGTACACTTGAGTTTGAGTGACACGACTGGATTTCATTGAACACCACTGTAGTACTGTACCTGCCGTGGCATACCCAAGGTATGAACGGCTATGGTATGGCCAGACCAATCAAAAACTGCTTCTGCGGGTCCTGCACTAGCGGTGAGCACTAGCGGTGAGCACTAGCGGTGAGCACTAGCGATATGCACTAGCAGTGGACACTAGCGGTGGGCACTAGCAGTGGGCACTAGCGGTGGGCACTAGCAAAGTGCACTGGCGGTGGACACTAGCGGCGGGCACTAGCAGTGTGCACTAGCGATGGACACTAATGGTGAGGTGTGCACTAGCGATGGACACTAATGGTGAGGTGGGCACTAGCGGTGGACACTAGCGGTGGACACTAGCGGTGGGCACTCGCGGTGGGCAAATGTAAGTGTACAGTCACCTACCTGTGCCTATATATTTGGCATAGTGCATCCATATGTAATTTGACCCCGCTTCCTATTTCACACCTGCGCGTACGCACATGCACCTTGCATGCACCAGCGGTAACTGTTGCGCGTGCGTGCCTGTGCTGTTTACATGCCTACTCTGTTCCCTGTGTTCTCCACTTCTCCTTTTGTCTTCATCATGTATAGTTTGTAATTCCTACCTGAGTGTGATGGTTGTGTTGGACTGAGAGAGTGTGCATGGGCATTTACCCTTAGTGCTGTTGCAGTAACGCAACACTTGGTGTCAGAACTGGTACCCCGAACCCTCGCCACCGGACCCGCTCGCCATGGCGAAATTTCAGCCCCCTGAAAGCTTCGACTTTTCCGCACCTGAGAATTGGCCCCGCTGGAAAAGCCGATTCTCACGCTTCCAGATTGCTACCAAACTCTCTTCCGAATCCGCAGATGTCCAAATCTCCACTCTCATCTACTCTCTGGGCCCAACTGCGGATGATATCTTCCAGCGTGAGTTGTCCTTCGCCCAAGATTCCGACAAGGACGACTTCGATAAAGTGGTCGATGCGTTCGACAAGTACTTTGCACCTGCGGACAATGTTATCCACGAACGGACGCAGTTCGCTCGTCTCCGCCAGCTCCCCGGTGAGTCCGTAGCCACGTTCTCAAGCCGACTCCACTCTGTCGCGGCGAGATGCCGTTTCGACAAGCCGTCAGAACGGATCCGCGATCACCTCGTCGCCCACATGGCTGATTCTGAAGTGAGTAAGGCGATGCAGAAAAAGGACATAGGCTCCCTCACCCTCGCCGATGTTCTCAAGGAGGCCAAGGCAGCTGAGACCCTCGAAATCCAGCTAGCCACTCAGCGCTCCGCAGTCACTCAGCCCTCCGTCGCTGCCGCTGTCGCTCGCGGACATCACAAACAATCTCGTGGAACTGGCAGACCGAAGAATGCTCCCGCTGCATCTCGCCAGTCCGCGCCTAGCTACTCGACACGTGGCCCTCCAGCAACCTCTGCTCCGCGCGCTCCCTGCTCCGGCTGTGGCTCATCTAGTGGTCACTCGCGCCGCGAGTGTCCTGCTTGGTCCGTCGAGTGCCGTAAGTGCCAGCGTCGTGGTCACTTTGCCAAAGTGTGTCGTAGCTCTCGTCAAGTGGGCGCGAGCGAGATGTCTGACCATCCGGTGAGTGATTCTGCTAGTGCTAGTGCGAGTTGTTTTATGGGTAGTGCTTCATCCGAGTCACAGGAACCCAGTATCTGTGTTTTGAGTTCAGTATCCATTCCTGACTCAACTGAACCCTGGCTTGTTGAGCTCCCTATCAATGGCCAGTCAGTGTTGTTCAAGCTGGACTCTGGCGCAGACTGCACACTCCTGTCACTGCCGTCCTACAATAGCCTCAGTCCTCAACCTAAGCTCACGCCGATCTCCACTAAGGTCACTGGACCTGACGGCCAACCTCTACCCATACACGGCGCATTTGTTGCTGCCAGCTCCTGGAAGGACCGCAACGTCACTTTCCGTGTTATTGTTGTTGATGGCCCCAGCAACCTCCTGAGCCGCAGTGTGTGCCAGGACCTGAACCTCCTGTCTTGCGATGTATCCGAGGCATCCGCAAGCCCTCCGTCCGCTCCTCCTGTCATTGGTCGCATGTCCGGTCCTGCAGCTACCATCGAGCTGCAAGACAATGCCCAACCATATCACTGCCAGACCGCACGACGAGTTCCCATCCACCTGCAAGCCAAGGTCAAGACCGAACTTGACCGGATGGTCCAGATGGGAGTCATCTCTCCAGTCACCGATCCGACCGACTGGTGTGCGCCCATGGTGCCCGTGCTCAAGAAGAATGGCTCCGTCCGCATCTGCGTGGATCTCAAACGCCTGAACCAGTCCGTGAAGCGTTCACACTTCACTCTGCCGACCATCGAAGACACCCTGGGCAAGCTGTCCGGAGCCAAGGTCTTCTCGTCGCTTGACACGGCGTCTGGGTTCTGGCAAGTGCCACTTGCTGACGACAGTGCGTCACTCACTACGTTCATGACACCGTTTGGCCGGTTTCACTTCAACCGTCTACCCTTTGGTATCACCAGTGCGCCAGAGGTTTTCCAGCGTCGCCTACTGGAAATCGTTGGGCACATTCCCAACGTGGTCGTCTTCATGGATGACATCCTCGTGTTCGGTGCCACTCTAGCTGAGCACGATGCTGCCCTCACTGCTGTCCACGCAGCTCTCGCTTCTGCAGGCGTACTCCTCAACCCCGCCAAGAGTCGCCTCCGTATGAAGTCCCTGACGTTCCTGGGTCACCTCATCGGTGCTGACGGTGTCCGCCCAGACCCAGCCAAGGTGTCTGCCATCCAAGCTCTGAAGTCACCGACCAATGTGCCCGAGTTACGCCGTGCTCTGGGTATGTTCACGTTTCTGTCGAAGTTTGTGCCAGATATGGCAAATGTCAGTGCCCCGCTCCGTGCTCTACTGAAGGCCGACACCGCCTGGCAGTGGGACACCCAGCAAGAAACTGCCTTCTGTCGCCTCAAGGAACTCGCTACTACTGCTCCCTGCTTGGCACTGTTCTCGCCCGACCAGCCCGTCCGTATTAGTGCTGATGCCAGTAGCTACGGACTGGGTGCTGTCCTCCTGCAGCCTGATGGCTCCCGCTGGCGCCCTGTTGCCTATGCGTCCCGCTCTCTATCTCCTACCGAGCAGCGCTATGCCCAGATTGAGAAAGAGTGTCTCGCCATCGTTTGGGCATGCGAGCATTTCCACCACTACATCTACGGCGGTCCTCAGTTCACAGTCGAGACTGACCACAAGCCCCTCGTGCCTCTCATCAACTCCGCTGATCTCGCCCGCTCTCCTCTGCGATGCCAGAGACTCCTGATGCGGCTGATGAGGTACAACCCAACCGCTATCCACGTGCCTGGCAAATCACTCGTCATTGCCGACACCCTATCCCGTGCTCCGCAAGAGTCCTCGCCTACTAGTGATCTTGCTGATGAAGTACAGCTGCATGTGTCTGCCGTCACATCGCATTGCTCCACCGACCCGCTCTTGGTCGACGTTCGGAACGCGACCAACGCTGATGCCGACATGTGTCGCCTCCGTGCCCTCATCCTCAACGGGTGGCCAGCCAAGCCCACCTCGGTCCCCGCTAGCCTCCGCCCGTACTTCGCTGTTCGCGATGAGCTCTCAACTGCTGATGGTCTCATATTCCGTGGCCAACGTGTCATCATCCCTGCATCCCAGCGCAACGCCGCCCTTGCCAGTGCTCACGAGGGTCACCAAGGCGTTGGTAAGTGTCGTGCTCGTGCGCGCGCTGTGATGTGGTGGCCTGGTATGTCTACGGACATTGAGTCGTATGTGATGTCTTGTGCCACCTGTGCCAAGGCCCGTCCTAACCCAGCCGAGCCGCTCATCTCGTCCGAGTTCCCATCTCTTCCATGGTCAAAGATCGCGTGTGATCTGTGTGCAGCCAAAGGATCCACTTACCTAGTTGTTGTCGACTATTTCTCGCGCTACATCGAAGTCAAACAACTTACCACTACTACGTCTGCCGCTGTGATTGCCTCTCTCCACTCCGTGTTTTCTACCCATGGTATTCCACACACGCTAGTGTCTGATAACGGTCCACAATTTGCTAGTGCCAGCTTCCGTGCATTTGCTGCCGAGCTTGGGTTTGCCCATCGCACGTCAAGTCCTCGCTTCGCCCAAAGCAACGGCGCTGCAGAACGTGCCGTTCAGACAGCCAAGCAGCTCCTTCTGAAGAACGACGACTTGCCTTCCGCTCTCTTGGCCTACCGGTCTACGCCATTGGCCAACGGTTATTCACCGTCACAGCTGTTGTTTGGCCGCCAAATCCGCTCCCGGCTACCAGGACCCCTCCCTGCTCCAGCGTGGCCCGATTTGACCGCCCTTGCCGACAAGGAAGCATCTTCCAGGTCTCGGCAGGCTGATCGCTACAATCAACGCCACCGTGCTCGACTGCTGCCTGTTCTCGCCTCTGGTGCTCCTGTGTATGTCCCCGATATGGACAAAACAGGACACGTCCAGAACCGCCTGTCCGAACGCTCCTACACGATCGACCTCACTCCTGGGTCATCTGTCCGCCGAAATCGTCGCCACGTGCGTGCGTTGCCATCCACGCCTACCACGTCAGCCAAACGCCCTGATCCCTCCCGCTCACCCTCCTCCATTGAGCCCATGTATGAGGTTGAGTATGGTGTTCCTGCTCCTGTGCATGTTGCCCTGCAACCACCTGCTAACTCTACTCTGCCGCCGCTTCTGCCTGTGCCGCAGTCTCCTCGAGTTGCTAAGCCACTGCCACCCGGTCGCAGACCACCATCCAGCCGTGTTCGCCATGCGCCGCAACGCTATGCTGCCAATACCTGAACACAGTAACACTGTTTACTCCATGTGTTCCAGTTGAACTATGACTGTGTTCTTTTCATTTTTTTTCTCTCTATCATTCTGAGTAATGCTCACGTTGGTACCCGCTCCAGAACTGCTATCGTTCCTTTTCCTCTCTCCTTTGCTCCACACTTTCTCGTGTCCCTCCGTTCGCATTTTTTTCGGGGGGAGATGTACAGTCACCTACCTGTGCCTATATATTTGGCATAGTGCATCCATATGTAATTTGACCCCGCTTCCTATTTCACACCTGCGCGTACGCACATGCACCTTGCATGCACCAGCGGTAACTGTTGCGCGTGCGTGCCTGTGCTGTTTACATGCCTACTCTGTTCCCTGTGTTCTCCACTTCTCCTTTTGTCTTCATCATGTATAGTTTGTAATTCCTACCTGAGTGTGATGGTTGTGTTGGACTGAGAGAGTGTGCATGGGCATTTACCCTTAGTGCTGTTGCAGTAACGCAACAGTAAGTATATTTCCGAATATTACCATGGTGCATGGCCGTGGCAGCTAGAGAGAGTGCTCAATATGCCATGGTCTTGCGAATCACGAAGTGGTGTCATGTAAGCTTTCAGACACATGACTTAACCTAAGAAAGGCGATGCAATGTGATTTTGATGCACGGTAACTGTGAGAGGCCTGGTTGCATGCATTTGCAGAATGCGGCATGCACAGAAGACAGGAGCCGCCTGCACTACCCACACAGCTATACTACTGTCAGGTCAGTGCAGGCAAGATGGGGCTGTCAGCTTGCAAAGACACATGGGAACACTGAGCACAGCTTGCAAAGACACATGGGAACACTGAGCACAACATGCAAAGACGCATGGGAACACTGAGCACAGCATGCAGCCCTGCAGCACGGTCACAACATACAGTTGAATATAGGGCAATGCCTGTACTGCCTGTACTGCCACCATGGAGATGAATCAATCAGTTAGAGACATCACAACACTTACACTAAGCAGTATCAACTTTCCACCGCGGAGGATTTTCACAGTGTATGTGTACGATCCATCAAAGATCCGCTGAAGTCCATCATGAACTTCAAATGACTGGTTCAATGCCTGCAAGGGTGAAACGGACACAGATGCACACACGCACCCACATACATGCACACGCACACCCCCCCCCCCCCTCCCCCACACACACATGCACACACGCACACGACGCACACACGCACAGAGAGCATGTACACATACAATTCAGTCAGAGTAAATTCCACATCTGTAAGAACACCACCACCAGTTGGAGGTGAGTAGATCAGACCTACCACTAAGTGGTTAAAGACCGAAAATCCCATTCGCTGCATCCATGGTTCCCTCGTTCCAGGCCACAAGTTCCCAACTGTCGGTTGCAGCATGGTTGGAAGCACTCTTCCGCTTACAAGCAGGACTTGAAGCTGGTACGCTCTGCTTCTCAATCATGGTCTTAGACCACCCCACTATGCCTGCCTGCCCGCCGTCCACTAAACTCCACTTACTTGAGGGTAAAGTGGTTTGGATGAGTGTTTCACACCGGCCTTGGCTAAAAGGTACATTCTACATGTGTTAGTAGAAGTTCCTTCCTTCCTTCCTTTTCACCTCGCTAAAATATGTTGTCGCACCATATTCTTCAGGAAATAAAGAGATTATAAACAACAGTCGGTTCTCTTAATTGCAATTATAAGTGCATGCATTTGGGATTACAATGCTTCGGTGGCATTTACAAATACATAGTATGTGTACAACACACACAAAAACACAATCTCCATTAACACACATACATGTACATGTGGATGGTAAAGAAACTAGATGGAGGGAACACGTCCTGCACCAACCTGAAGAACTGCATTGAAAAAGCATGTCTGGCCTTGGTTCTCCAAGCCCTGGAATGAAGAACAGCAGGGACGAGATGAGAGAGTAAAAGGGCAAGAGAGTAAAGAAGGATAGTGAACAGACAAAGAGAAGAAGAAATACTGAGCTGAAGAGCTTGAATACACCTCCAAGGAACATTATAGTGACTGTGACAACTAGCCAATAACAAGTTACTTGAAGGAGCTGCTAGGCCAGCCATAGGCCGAGGTGCATTCAAAGCGGTTTCCAAACTAAACGATATCCTCGGTATAAACTCACAGCAGTCACAGTGTAACACTGTTTTCACAGCAAACATGGCAGGATTACTGGTTCCTTGCGTGGCATGCCATGGATCATGCGATGCCGGCCCTGCTAACTAGCTGTTTGACTCCTGCCGCATACCATGAGCTGCGCCCGTGCTAGTTCCAGTTGCATCTCCGTGTCCATGCATGAAACTTATGTCCTTCAATTTTTGTGTACACACTCAGAAACCAGATTGAAACCATTTCCAGAACGACCCACATCTCCTTTCAAATGACCAAGGGTATTATGGTGCCGTGAAAGAAAGCGGAATCGACGTCAATTCGGAGAAAAAGATGCCATTACAGAGAAAGATACCATTACAGAGAAAAATACCATTACAGAGAAAAATATACCATTACAGACATAGGAATTGTGTGGGCGAACACCACAGTCAAATTTTTTCCAAGGTGGTGTGCTAAAAAAAGGGTCCGTACATTCCGGGGAGTTTTCTTACCTTGACAAGCAGTGGAGATGTATGCATTTCCATTCCCACGTGGCTAGCAACAGTTGGTGTCTGCTGATTGCTTTTCCGTTCTCCAGCTTCCTGACTAGGAGGGGGTGGTGCGATTGCGGCTGCACCATCGTAATCGTGGAGATCTGTGCATGAAAAAGCCCACGGTAAACGACTAAAAAGTAGCCCAGACTGTGTTCTGCAGGTGGGCGATGCAGTTATTAGCAATCTCTTGGTTCTATGAGCTTGACATGGTGGGAATGGTGTCCATCTAGTCTCCCTCGTTAGCCTTTCCATCCCAACCGAAATCAGGTAACCAGGCCCTGATCGGGCTTTCAAAGTAAGCAGGAATATTTTATTTCAGTAGACTATAATTGGCAGCCCGTTGCCGGTTTCACACTACATGCCAAAATGCAGTACTGAGAAAAAAAATCAAGGTTTCACTCCTCCATTTCACACTACACGAGTATTGCACAGTGTCCTCTGCATGATTCCCAGGGTAGAGTTTCGCAGTTTCACAGCACACGTGGGTTTGAAGTCTGAAGAAAGTGTTGAACAGCCTCTACTAGGACAACGACCACGCCATACCTTAACGGCTACACCTCGATGGATTATTGGCCTCTAACAAAGGTCCCTGATTCGAGTCCTGTCGGGAACAGTCAATCTTTCTGTCAACTTTTTTTCCCTTTTCAACTCCCTCAAACTATGAATTAGCAAACGTATTAGGAAACTAACCCAGCCGTAGGGGCAAAACTGCTACAAGGGCGGGCCCTCTTACTCGCCCACATGTATTTCGCTCCTGTTTTTGTAGTAACCGAGCACTCACATGCGGGGTAGTGCCTTTGCTGTTTGCATTCCGCTTAGCTCACGGACTTGTCAGTTTCTGTGTTCGGTCCTGGTTTATGATCTGGCTTTGGAAATTTTATTTTTCATTGCTTTCAGGTTTGGCCTCATTTTCTCTGTGCTGTGCTGATGAGTCTACAAAGGACGACACAGTTCAGTTCGAAGATTGAGTACATATACATGCAGTGTTGCCAACCGCCCGTATTTGTCCGTATTTTTACGGAAAAACGAAGTTTTGTCCGCAGTACGGATGTCAATCGAATATCCCGCAGACGATCACGTATATGATCGATTGCTAAAACCTTCGTAACTCCATCGTTTCTTGCGCCAATTCCACAATCGAAGGGTCTCCGTGGTAGCAAAAACTCCAAGTTGTCCAATGCAACAATCGCTGAAGCATTATGATGTCGGATTCCAGAGATTTCGCACGCCGTATTCATGTATTCTTACCTCAGCAAAAATCAAATAGGCTTTGACCGATCTCTTCCTATTTTTGGGGAAGTCCCTTTTTGCGTGCTCTTTGAGTGACAGAGCACTTTAAAGCTTTATAATGATGTAGCCAGCTGAAGTATGAATCGCCTCGAAAACCGTTGAGCGTTCTGCGATGGAGGAGAGTGGAATGGTGTTGATGGGACGAATTATTTGCTTGCATATTAGGCTTGGAGATGACTTTGCTGTGTTACCGCGCCTGATTTGTGGCGGCTTCATAATAGAGCTTGGCATCCTGGCGTTGCTCCTGCCAAGAGCTTTCCAACGAGCCCTAGATTGCGAAAATCAAGCGAAGCAGACCAAAGTTATGATCTGATGAAGTTGAAAATTGTACTGAATCCGTAGGCTTTGCAAGTGAACTCTGTGGCTGGAAAAGTTGTACAGTATCGTTTTTCTTCCAAATTACACTAAATCAGTCAAAATGTTGACCTGAAAAACGAGTACGGAAAACTCTGAAAAATTCTGCAAAATGGCACTGGGCAGTACGCATGGGGGTAGAGGGCACTTGGTAACACTGTACATGGTCCTATAATCTATTTCACGAACACAGCTCACTTCCTTACCTTCACAATCACCAGCACCGAATTGTGCTAGCCATCCATAATCGGTCCTGCCTGAGGTGTCGATGCAGGAAACAGAGAGACCAGGCAAAAGAAATGCCTACCAAATGTCAAAATCAAGGCCGCAAACAGACACAATGTGATGCACATACATATGCATGTATCTACACATGCATACACAGATGTGCACGCACACCATTGGACGCCCATCATCGCCGAAGGCGATGATAGCGATGCTACAGCAGAAGCCATAGCAGCTTGTGCTGGGATTGCACCATTCAACAACTTGCAAGGCTGAAGAATTGACCGCCACTACCCAGCCTGGTCTACACCACACAGCTATGAAGTGGCTTTTTCTGGCCAGTGAATCCCTACTTTTTGGTCTTTTTTTCATTTTTTCCGCACACACATCACACCACATACTCCGGCATGCACTGGCTGTTGGTAACCACCCAGGATAATGAAAGAAAAGTCAGGAGAAGGCTGAGAAAGAGAAGAAAGACGTGTGTGACCATAATCGTCGGGAATCGAACCCACCTCTCGATTGGAAATCGCTGCACATACCACTGCACCATATGGGACACACACCGCACACATGCACACACACACACACACACACACACACACACACACACACACACACACACACACACACACACACACACACACTATTTGACCATTTGACGCCCATCGTCGGAGGCGGTCATAGCGATGCTACAGCAGAAGCCATAGCAACTAAGTTACTTGTGCTGGGATTGCACCATTCAACAGCTTACAAGGCTGAAGAATCGAACCCGCAACCTATCGATTGGACACACACACACACACGCACGCACACTCACCCATACACACACACTCACCAATACACACACACACTCACACACACACACACATGCACGCACACACACACATGCACGCGCGCAAGTCTCCCGTGTACATGTGTACCAATTGTAGTGTACACTTATACTTATGACGGGAATGGTCTTAGAGACTGCTTCCCCATTCCCGTTGGCCTTCCAATCACATAATGACTTACACTCTTTCTGCAGGCTCTGTATGGTGATCCCCGAATTACATAATATTATTCATGCATAATGGACAACTATTTCTCTACACACATCCTTATTCTACCTCCCACGCCGTACTCGGAACACAGCAGGGAGTCGAATATGACTCCCTGCATTTATTCTGAAATATGAAGCTGGCCACGACGAGGGTTTCCCCTCAGTTCTTGGTTAGTCCAGAAGGAGTGAGTTCGAGGTGTTGTGTCGACTGGAGCTGCTAGTAAATTAGTATGCTTACTGTTACATACTGCCTAGATTAAAATTCCGCCTGCCCACACCAAATAATTCTCGGTGCATTCCCGGTGACCCGGAAACCAGAGTATTTAACTTAAGGTGTGACCTTACCGAAGAAACTTAGGGCAGAAGTGATGTCCGCCCAACTGAACAGTGCTTGATGTTCAGCCATTCCAAAGTGCCTCCGCAAGTGCGGCCAGCCCCAATAGGCCAGCACCACAAGCACGGGAATCACTTCGACAACGTTTGCTTCAAAGCCAAAGGTCGAATAGTTCGCATGCCCCGCAACGTCCGGTTGAAAAAAGCAACACGGCAGTCTGACGAACAACACCATCAAACCTGTTCTTCGGAATGGTGAAACTTCTGTATTTCAGGATAAGCCAGAGGTAGAGGCTGCGGGACTGGCGTTCGCGTGCACATAGAGATAGGGAATAGGAGAGGAAAGTGCCGCCTTTACTCGTACTTCAGGTCGTGTTGAACAGCTGCAGGTAGGGTTAGAAAGCGGTGCACAACTACACGGATTACTGGGGGACCACGACGGGCGAAGCGCGCACAACCGACTATACCACAAAACTACACATACCTACACGGTGTTGCTAAATGTTTCCACCCGTCCTCTCCGACACTTCGGGCAAAATGACGGCAAGCATAGGAAAATCTCTAGTTCTGGAGTGGAGGCTGCTAGATTGGCTTCACTTGCAAGGCGAGATTTCTGGCGCGTGCAATATCTACGACCAGTCGTGTGAACACGACGCTAAGCAAGCCTGGCGCGCAAAATGAGAAACACAGGGCGGCTGGCGCTAGACTTGCGCTCCCTCAGTCTACTCTAGGCTAGCTACACAGCCCCACACCACTCGCATCGATGGTATTGTGTTGAAACTTATCTTATGTCCTTGCCCAGAGAAAGGTAGCACTACCTGTATTGCTACCTGTATTGCTAATACATTCACTTCGTAGCTGTAGACAGTGTAGTTGTGATGGAAGAATTATTGAATAATTATTCGGTTTTCCTGTTCACAAGTTTCGGTATTCGTGTCCATCCGACCTGCCAACATGGCCAGCGAGCAGGCTGAAGTACTGGCCTAAGACAGAAGGAGGCGCTTAGGCCACATCCCATGCTGTTGATCAGGGAGTCGACTACTATACCAGTCGTATATTCCCTGCTACTGATGTAGTGTTTACGAGATTTAGCCTTTTAGTTTTAGGTCATTGGACATGTGGTGTGGACGTTGCGGTCGGTTTTCCGTGTTTTCATCCTTTCGTCTTGCGCAAGGAGGGATGGAGTGGTCGGTATGACCGCGTGGGCCACTGCATGCTGTTCCAGTGTGGGCTGCGTGTTGGACTGACATAATCATTCACCGCTGACGCGTTGTTCATGACTGTGCAGACCATGTACCAGGGCTTTCACGACTCTCTATGTCTATGATCTAGCGTAGACGTGTGTACACAACAGTACATTCACTCTTTGTCTTTGATCGAGAATACCAACGCTAGGAGTTGCCAGTGAGTCGATCTCGCCAATTGCCAAGGTCCCCTGCGCTCCTACGCCAGTACGGCAGTAGGCTGTACGGCTAGTGCAGTGGTACAAACTAACAAATTACTTCACTATCGTCAGGATCGGTGCGGGGATCTGAAAAAAAAACTCTGAATGGATCTGAACGAACACGCAACGCGCGCGGTCGGTCATTCAGACATGGCCGTGTCCACAGTCTTGTTCTAGCGTTTGAGTCTTTAGACGTAGAATAGTGCTGTACCACAGGCGAAACGACAAGGCAAGACACCAGACTGATGTCACGTCAGTCACGAGTGTCTCTGGCACGCAGCGACGGGTTACACTTACACAGCAGACAAACAATCATGTATTTAGGGCTGCATGATCTGTAGCTGTGTAGCTGAAGGGACATGAAAATGAATGATGAGGGTGGGGCATTGATGGTTCATCTCCAAAGCAATGATGAGGAGGGGGTGGGGCATTGATGGTTCATCTCCAAAGCAATGAAACTGACCTCATTTAAGCTGGATTAGGCTCTGTCTATCTAGATTCAGTAGACATGGTGCATGGTACTGGTAGAGCATGCTAGCACTACATGTAATAAGCCGAATAAAGACATAATTATCGTGAGTTTTTTTTAGTTTTTTTTACATGCAATGTACTTTGACCGCCGGTACGCGGTGAACGCGTACCAGACCACTGCACTGCACTAGCACTGTAGCAGTGCTTAGCCATTGGCGGAATATGCTCGGCCAATCGTCAAAATTTAATGATGCTTTTGATTATGCCACAATTATGCCAACAAATATGCTAAATTATGCTGAATTATGCTCGGTTCCACTATGTATTCACGCTGTACATAGACTGAGGATTGAGAAACCACGCATACACACACGCGGCCCCAGGGCTTTTTGACAAAGCTGTATTATGCCCTAAGCATAATTTTTGTCTATTTAAAACCGAAAGATTATGCCGACTTTACACGTTGGAATCCGTATAATATTATGCCGGAGCATAATTTTTTGACAAAGCTGTATTATGCCCTAAGCATAATTTTTGTCTATTTAAAACCGAAAGATTATGCTGACCTTACACGTTGGAATCCGTATAATATTATGCCGGAGCATAATTTTAAGCTGTATTATGCCCTATGCATAATTTTTGTCTAAACAGAAAGATTATGCCGAGTCGATTGCCGACCTTACACGTTGGAATCCGTATATTATGCCGGAGGACAAAGCTGTATTATGCCCTAAGCATAATTTTTGTCTAAACCGAAAGATTATGCCGACTTTACACGTTGGAATCCGTATTATTATGCCGGAGCATAATTTTTTGACGAAGGAAATTGTTTGGCACCTGTTCCGCAAGCTGCACGCTCGAAAGTCCAAACAGCAATGACATGCAAGAGACATAATTGTGCAGGATTTTGATGGGCGCGTGCCCACGTGACTCGCGCATGCGTGCAGGTTGGGCCAGCTCGCTGGGCTGGCTGCTAACTGTTACTCGCGTTAGCATGCTAACGGCAACGCTCATGTAAACATGTTGTGTTTTCAACAAAACAAGGTGTATCTCCATGGCATAACGGTACATGTATCAAGTCTCACAGTCTCCCTGGCATAACTACATGACATTGTACAACCATGCAGCCTTTCAAAGTTTGAAGCTATGACCAGGGAGTAGTACAATGGTATTGTACTACTCCCTGGCTATGACCATGAATGATGAGCATGATGACTACCGAGTACCGGTATGAGGATGATCTTGGTACTTATCGTAACGGTGTGCACAGACTTCCTATTTCAGTCCTGGGCAGGCGGCCTGCAAGGCTGCAGCCATTTGAGACTTCGTGCCTGGAAATGGTGCACCACCGCGGTCAACGGACAACGGCTGGCTTTCAAAGAGAAAGAAACTAAATGCGTGTACAAAAAGTAGTGATGGCCTGGGAATGCAATCGTCCTAGCAGGGCTAGGCATATGTTCTTAGCTATCAAGTATCATCTACACCACGGTAAAGTGTTCTGTCCTGATATGGGCTAAGATCAGTAAGGAAGTAGATCTACATGCACCAAGGGTGATTTGCACGCTTGCAAAGTAAGCTACTAAGCAGCTTCAATCACGTATACTGTTCAGTCACACGATAAACGGAATTCGGAAGTGCTATGACAGTTTGTGGCCAGATGTCCCACTCCCACCTAGCGTGTCAGACTCTCTCGCCCCTATCGATCTCCTCGTCGCGTCACAAACCAACCAACATGTGTGGACAATAATTAGAATACAACCATGCAAATATTCCACTACCATCAGTGGAAAGGTCCAGTGTTGGCCTAACCAAGAGTACATAAGAGTACAAGTACATTTGTACTCTTGGTGTAACCTATAGATATCACATGTTCTCGCCTCTACAAAGCCAGTACATAATATGCATAACCATCCTAGCGAAAGCCTGTCCTCATTCAGTCCGAAACAGCACATTTCTATTTGGCTTTCTGGTCGTTTCATCTCGCGCTGGTGGGAGCGTGTGTGAATATTCGATCGTGCTGCATGGCATAGTGCTATCGCTAGCAAAGAGAGGACCAGTCTTCAGAGTTTCAGTGCTCTGTGGTGTGTCAAGTCTCTAGATCATCTTAGAAAATTAAGTATACAACAACAACAACAACAAAGACGGCGACTTGCAGAGCAGGCTGATGATGAACACGAGAGCTGGCACTGCGTGGGTGATTCTCGCTCTGGTCTATACACTTGCACTCGCTGTTCGCCTTGGCACATGCAGTCAGCCCTGGATTGTCCTGTTCGTTGAGTCATGGCCACAGAGACCTGGAGCGGGCTGGGCCAGTCCAAGCTTGCCGGTAGATTGGACAAGAGACCATCCGACCATCGGTTCCACTTCCAATCGAATAGACTCGATGACCGCCCAATCTGACGGTTCCACTTCCAATCGAATAGACTCGATGACCGCCCAGTCAGACCCCAGTAGGCAGCCTACGCCGCCAACACAAGACCAAGGTCAGCCATCACACAATACCACCGACCCACATCAAGGACAATCGCAGCCAGCACCACTATCCTCGCCTCTGGAGAACAGGACGAGATACGATAGCTTGGAGTCGGCACTACTAGCTGTTGAGGACTCGCATGTACTATTCCGACGTAGAGGGTCTCGACATCCCGACGTGGTGGTCAAGCTGCTTGCGTCTCCTGCATCCGGCTGCGCCATACTGCTCTACGATGGCAATTGTGATGCGCCCGACCGGGGTCGGAATCCGCGGGGCGGCATACTGTTTCCATCCTTGAATCCAGGACGGAGCACGTCGCAGGGTCGGATCACTGTAGAAATGGACCATACTAGCAGCTGTTCTCACGCTATCTTGCGCCACAAACCATGTCTCGCCCCTTTTGACCGGCCACATCCACAATCGTCTAACAGTCAGAGCACAGCGCAACCTAATCGGTATGTGGGCGGTAGCGATGCCCTCATCAAATTCGTCAATTCATCCCAAGTAACTTTCCGCGGGGTTGAATTTGACCTAGCCCATTTCAAACACCTCCGTGGCCTATTGTCTGTGGAACGTTCCTCAATGCTGATGTTTGAACAGTGCAGCTTTCGTATTTCAGACAGCATCAACACACCGAATTCTAAGAACGAGACATATTACGGGGTCAAAGTGCAAGACAGCTTCAGTGTGCTTTTCGTCCTGTGTACTTTTGAGGGCACGGCCAACGCAAGCAGGGCGCGAGTGTTGCCTTTGCGAAGACCGTATCAGGACATTGCCCACTCGATTGACCTTCGCTCGGCGCTAGAAATCTTTACAACTCCGCCATCACCGTCATCGCCTTGTCCCTCTCCTGCTGAAGCAAGACGACATTGGAAGAAGGCCATATGCTGGTTAGAGAAACAGTACGGTTCGTACGCGCACCGAATTTCTTTCTTCCAGTACAAGGAGGAGCCCCACCTTATCGGAACATTCATCGAGCGCTGTAAGTTCTCTGGTATTGGACAGCCGGCCGAATATCGATGCGAGGACCAGCGGATACATCGCATCGACAGGACCCTCGGTTACGCTTTGGACGTGAAGTTGCGCTCTCCTTGCCAGAATCGGGTAGTGGTCACGGATTCGTTGTTCGCCTCTAATCACGCCAACTACGGAACGGTTGTGAAGGTCACAATTGCCCTAAAAGCCCATGATGATGATCCCGGTGCGGGTCAGGCGGAAGTGAGCGTTCCAGCTGCATCAGCGATCCAGACGGTATCATTTTCGAACACAGTGTTCCACGACAACCATGCTCTCGTTGGAGGTGGGCTGTCCATTGTTTACAGCAGCAGCAGCAGCAGCGAAAGTAGTAACAAGACTGAGCAGTGCGGTGAAGGAACCACTCAAGCCCTCCATGTCTACGGTGTGGAGCTCCACAATTGCACGTTTGAGAAGAACGAAGCTGGGCACCAGGGCGGCGCAGTCTACTTGCACATTCGCGGTCCGAAAGCAGCACTCCGTCAAGCAAAGACGCTCTTCAACAATACAAAGTTCGTAGCGAATACTGTTCCGAGAACTGGACCCTACGTTGGGGCGGCTATTTTCAGCAGGAACCTGGAACAGCCATGCTCAGTGTACACCTGGATGAAGTCGCTTCCCGACCAGCCAACTATCACATTCAGCAACTGCACGTTCACTGGGAATGAGGGAGAAGATGGCGTCGTCTACGTCTGGCTCACCAATCTTCTGTTCCATAATGTGTGAGTCGTAACAGATTGACTGCTATTGCCTGAGTTACTGTATGGATTCAGGGGAGTGGTGCTAGGCTTGGTGCTCCCGTATTGCCATGCATGCAGGCAAGTACTACGGTTGGTCAGGCCCTGGCCAGGCCAGCCTATTGACCACCAACGATTACGTGTGTTCAATGCTGAGTGCTGAGGTCACGTGTAGTCATGTAGATCTACCCTCCATATCATACCAAGAGTACATAACCCCCAAGAGTGTGCAACTCCAACATACCGGTACCCTGCTGTCCCGACAGAATTTCAAGTTGACGTCATTATATATGATGCAATGCTCCTTGCACCAGTGTCTGATTACATCATGTGTACAGGTTTTTACAGCATTCTTCTTGGAACATTTGCCAAAGGATAACTCATGTAGACTCCACCCACTTGGGCCTAAGTTCCACTGACGTTGTATGCCATGTACTCAACTACATGTACAGTGAGTTTAGTTGATGTCACCCTGAACTGGTACAGAGCACATTGTCTCCCCCCCCCCCCCCCCCACCCAACCAATCTAAAAACCGGTACTATGCAGGTGCATGTACATGTGTGCCGGTGTGTACACATAGCACCATGCCCCAGTTTCATTTCAGTGCTATCATCTGTCCTGCACTGTGTGCCTCACAGGAGGTTCGAGGCCAACAAGCACACCGCAGTGGTAGCATGCTGTAGCAATGTGACGTTCACAGGAGAGGCACATTTCATATCCAATAGAGGACGCAACGGAGGTGTGATGAGGACAGTGGGGCAAGCCTTGTTTGATTTAGAGAAGGTAAGCCTGCCAGCACAATTGGTCAGCATGTTAATTTTAGTGAACAGAATTTGATTCTCTCCGCAAAATTCCTTCCTTTCTTCTTGGTTATGGAAGCTTTTCAGGAGACGTGTATTCAATCTGATGATTGGTTACTAGCAATAGCAGACTTCGTGAAGAATCTTGAATGCAGCAAAAGCCATCAACAAGCCAAGGACAGTGACTACAAGAACAGATGATAATTGCATCTGTGTACAATGCAGCATGAGTTGACAGTAGCCAACGTCATGAGTAATGGGAGGTGTGCAAACCAAAACAAACTGATCCGAGCCCCATTTCATTCCTACTCAAGTGTATGTTTAGTTCCCTAACACGGTCTCAAGCTTGTCTTTCCAGAGTACAGTCTACTTCATGAATATCAAGTCTTGACGGCCTTGGGTATAACAACTCAAGAATAACGACACGATCTTCAGACATAGTATCTATTTGATTGCATACTTTCAACCTCACAAACGACAACACGTAAATATTATGTACAATCCTTTCCCATGCGCGATCGAGGGACGATATTCGCAACGTTGGCGGTGTTCAAAATGCACTACCGCTAAATGAGTACCTGTTATACAATCAGTAACGGAAGACATGACTCATCACGCCCTGCTTCTCTTTGACTCACAGGTGCATCTGATGAATGCGCACGGCAATGTGGCTGAGAACCAGGGCAGCATCTACTATGGCGGGCATGAATCCTCTGCCGTATGGCTGTTTGAAACGAGAAACTACAACGAGCATGGGAAGTCGTTTGATAAACCAAAGTGTCCACTGCAGTTCCCGAAGAGCCAGCGAAAGAATGCGCTCGATTTGTTCGTAAGCAGTGTGTGTTTACAATACATGTACTAAGTGTGGCACCATACATGTATACTAGTACAAGTCTTACAAATTGTATAGTGATGTCCATGAGATATCTAGCAGATGCATTATTATCGGCCCTATCACTCTAATTTGCTGAATCTACGTGCTATCAGCTTTCATGTTTTTTCGTTGCTGTCGAGTATCCCTAAGTTAGTCTCTTAGGCCGTGAACTATCCGAACAATCAAATATCCGAAATACCGGTTTGCATTGAAATGAAGGGACAAAAATGAGTTTTTACTGATTTTCCCCGCCCGAAGTACCATTCAGGTGGTACAAACGATGCATTGCAACATGTTGGAGGCAAAATATATCACCGTAGTGTCATTTCTAGGAGCTCCAGTGTGTATGGTTCCTGTGGTACTGCCAAAGAGAATGAGAAATTATGAAAATGAAGGAATATGCATGTTTTAGATGGATGTCTGACTGTTCCCTTTTCCGAACATTCTCCTCATCCGACCTCTGGAGACAGGCCACACCGAGGGGTGCGGGTAATTGACACTCTGATGTGTGTGTGTGTGCGTGTGTGTGCACGTGCGTGTGTGTGTGTGTTTGTGTGTGTGTGTGTGTGTGTGTGTGTGTGTGTGTGTGTGTGTGTGTGTGCATGCTGCACGGCAAATGCCCTGTTGAAGTTTGAGGAGCTTTTACAGTTCAACATCCAGTTTGAGAGTACCCTAGACGTCTATATGAAACTCCTGTTCATGCCCACGTGCCTGTGGTCTTCAGATGTACTAAAGCCATTCTTGTTGTCTGATGTCGCCTGGTTTGTGCCACTGTCTGGTGTCTAATGGTTTAGAAATGGTCCATCCTTTATGGTCAGTCCATGAACAAGTCCACCTTGGCTGGAGGTGATGAGGTGATAGCAGCATACTTCATGGCTAGCTGGGTATATTGCTACCAGCAATTTGATGTACCAGAATGGCCACTAACCATACTCAAACCTGCGCTTTCGTTGGCAGTTAAAATGGAACTTCAAGCCTTCTGTATGCCGTACGGCCCTTCAGATCGCGCCAATGGTTAGTACTGCTCCCTTCCACGAGGTAATCATTGGATTATTGTGTTGAGAGTATTAGGTGCAGGTGGCCTTGGTCTAGAGTTTGTATGGACGTCATTGGTATGGTGGACAGTGTGGTGTGTGAGTTTGCATACCTGCCAAGTATCCAGATTTTTTCGGGATTATCCCGCAATTTTGGATGAACTCAATTTTGGATGAACTCCCGCGATCCCGAAATTCCTGTCGATTATCCCGAAATTCACTGTACAAGAAACAAGCTTGATATCGTACTTGGAGCACTTCAGATGACTTGTCACAGGTCAGTAGTTGTCCTTATTGATTCCCGACCGCCATAGGCTGCAGTACCAGTGGATCTACTAGTGCTCCTTCCATGAGCAGTCTCTGAAAAACCTCCGTTTTTGAGTCTTGAACATGTGTAAGTATGATCCGATGATCACCATCGATCATCTATTATCGAAGTGTTGGTGCCATCAAAAGTTGAAAAAGGATTTTTTTGGTAAAAATGTGACATATCCCGAAAAACCAAGGCAAATCCCGCGATTTTGCCCTGGCGATCCAGAAAAAGCACTCTCAGTACTTGGCAGGTATGAGTTTGTACTTCAAAAAGTATGGATATCATTGGTATGGTGGACAGTGTGGTGTGTGAGTTTGTATGGACATCATTGGTATGGTGGACAGTGTGGTGTGTGAGTTTGTATGGATATCATTGGTATGGTGGACAGTGTGGTGTGTGAGTTTGTATGGACATCATTGGTATGGTGGACAGTGTGGTGTGTGAGTTTGTATGGATATCATTGGTCTGGTGGACAGTGTGGTGTGTGAGTTTGTATGGATATCATTGGTATGGTGGACAGTGTGGTGTGTGAGTTTGTATGGATATCATTGGTATGGTGGACAGTGTGGTGTGTGAGTTTGTATGGATATCATTGGTATGGTGGACAGTGTGGTGTGTGAGTTTGTATGGATATCATTGGTATGGTGGACAGTGTGGTGTGTGAGTTTGTATGGATATCATTGGTATGGTGGACAGTGTGCTGTGTGAGTTTGTATGGATATCATTGGTATGGTGGACAGTGTGGTGTGTGAGTTTGTATGGATATCATTGGTCTGGTGGACAGTGTGGTGTGTAAGGTTGTATGGATATCATTGGTATGGTGGACAGTGTGCTGTGTGAGTTTGTATGGATATCATTGGTATGGTGGATAGTGTGCTGTTAGATTACTGTAAGAGCTGAGAGTGTGACGAGTCTAAAGTTTAACATTTTTTCTCGTAACGTTAAAAACTCTGTGCCCCGTTAGAGATTCCACTCCTACAGTACATGGTACCTGCATGAGTATTAAAGTGTACTATGTGGCATGCACACCGTGGAGCGCTTGTCCGACTGATTGTGCACGTGCGAGGCATGACGTGTGTCAGCGCATGTGCCGGTAGGGTTGTGTGCTGCAAGTGTGAGCTGCCACCGCCAAGTCCCCGTCGAGTCCCCGGTGCTCTGGGCGTGTTGCTGTTACACCTTGGTTCCCGATCGATGCTGTTCCCTTCATTAGTTTGCTTTTTCCAAGTCTTCCTTCTGTTCTAATATCGGTCGTCGCTTTTCACTTTGTCTCCAGTCGTCTTTGTCCAGCATTCCTGTTAGTACTTGGAAGTACAGTCATGCACTACAAGTACAGCAGTACGAGGTGAATTGCTATTTCTGGACATTTCGAGTAAAATAATTTTTCGTCGCGTGTAGAGTCAAGTCAGTCAGGTTGATGAAGTTTTTTCTTGTTGCAGTTGACAGCTGGGCTGTTGTAGTTTCTCCTCGTGTCGGTGCCTTGTTGATTGTTGTGTCGGACCTCACTAACACACAAACAGTTCATAGAGTAGTGACGGACAAAAAGACCTTGTTGTTATGACGCATGCTCAGTATGATAGAGAAAAGAGGAGTCATCATATTATGAAGTATGACGTATACATAGCAATCCTCCCCCACAAATCGGAGGTATATGGAGCAAAAAAGCAAGCAGAAATATGTACAAAGGCATGCAATCAATATTTGCTGACACTGGGACAGTGCTCATAACATAATGCATTATAGAAAATAAATTATGCGGACAAACATGCACATGTGCCCAGAGCACTGTCTAGATTAATGTAATTGTCATGCACAGCGAATAGACTATGCAGAGACCGGTACAAGGAAATACATGCACATGCGAATAGAATGATCTCAAAAGTCCAGAATCAGTATTCACAAACCAGGCCATAATCCACATTACAAAAGATGAAGGATTAGGCCATACAATAGATACAAAAAGATATGAAAAATGTAAAACACACAGCCAGTGGGCCTCTATTTTATTTTCATGTCCAGAAATTGCTATTCACCTCGTACTGATAGCCTTCATCCTCGTTTAGTCTCACAATATGATGCCCATGCCCTGCCACGAAAAAGAGTACCGTAGAATCCCGCGGATAAGCCTACCCGCGTATAAGCCCATGCCCGTGCATAAGCCCAGGGAAAGTTCGAACATCACAAGGCTTCGTCGTACAAGCCCATGGGTCTTGAGTCGCACCAAGAGTCCATAAATTATGGACTCTTGGTCGTACCATGTACACGTATGATGTACGTAGTACATGTTGGGTTGGTTTTTGTTGTTTTTGTACATTTCAACACAATCATCGGTTGTTTTTGTTTGCAGAGTGGCTTTTAGCAATGTACTTCTCACTTCCTTGGTACTTTTCAATAGCACAATTTTGGTGTCAGAGTATAAGCCCATGACCGCGTATAAGCCCATGACCGCGTATAAGCCCATGTTCTTGTATAAGCCCATGTTCTTGTATAAGCCCATGTTCTTGTATAAGCCCATGTTCTTGTATAAGCCCACCGAAATGTCCTTGTGAAACAGATAAGCCCATGGGCTTATCCGCGGGATTCTATGGTATGGGCTTTACTTTTGCTCATGTGTAGGCCACCATGCAGGACGATGCAACCATGGTCGGGTTTTTGTTTTTAACTCTTCGGGTCTTGGGATTCTATGATACACATGCTATGTGCAGATGGTGTCGATCTTAGACAAATGAAGAGTTGCGGTCTGAAACCATGTAACACTAAAGTCATACTACTTCAAAAAGTAGGGACCAGCAAGGTCTTGTTTGTGTTTTTTGCTTTCTTCTTCTTGTTCATGCAGTGTCCGTTGCGTTGCTCAGTCCCTGCCGTGCAAGCGACTCGCATATGCCCGACAAGCTACAATTATATGGAACAAACAAGTCTTGCCGAGAAGACTGCATGAGCAGGGACGATAGTTCACACTTGTCACCTTTCGGCATCACCATACCGAGAGAAACGTCAACGTGTAACTTGAAAAATGCATACCTAAGCCAGCCATTTCGGTGCGGTAGTGTAGCCCAGTGTCTTCTGGCATGGGTGCCTCAAACAAGGAATCCGGTTTCCTTGTTGGGCTCAGCGCCAGCCTGGCTCTTCTTCAAGTATGCAACAACCACATGTTTCAAGACCATCGGCACGCAGCGCATACTGTATTTCAAGGACGTTTGCAACAGATCCGAAATCGTGTGGCAACTGCAGCACAGGTACTTGGACCTAAACTTACACACACACACACACACACACACACACACACACACACACACACACACACACACACACACACACACACACACACACACACACACACACACACACACACACACACACACACACTGAAGTTACCAAAAATATGCATGGGTCATTTTAACCTACCAAAGCAAGAAGAACCAGATGCTCAAAGTGCTTCTCGAACGGGAGTTTTATAGACTAAGCAAAGCCCTGTGTGTAAAAGTTGCTGGTTGGGGGCAGCATAGGTAAAGTACGAGTATGTCTGACAAGAAACCCAGGACTGCGCATCACCATTACCATAAGTAACTGCAGATTTGCAAATGATAGAATGTTCGAAAGCGGCAAACTGTTTGCCTGAAGAAAATCTCACTCACAGACCAGTCCATATGCTTACAGAAAATAACTTCCTTGTCAAATTTGATTCTAGAAACTCACCAGTGCTGTAATAGAAGGAAGCTTTAATGTGAGTGCTGATTGCGGGTGACTTTTCCCAGGACTACGTATGATCCACTGGAAACAGACTGTGGACTGCTAAGCCTGGCGAGAGAGCGGCACATCTACCGCGATTCCATGCTGCCCTTTGTGCCTGGCTATCCACTGGTTCTAACGCCCTGGTCAAGTCATGTCCGCGACTGGTCGGCCCCAATGCTCATCAACACAACACATCCAGAGTACTGCATCGGAGATACGGCCAGGCGGTTCCCCAATGCCACGCGTAGCATTTCCAAAATCACCCTGAACCCAGCACCCGGCGAAGTGTTCTCCATCAACGTTCAGCCGGCTGACGAGTGGATGAACTGGCGGCACACCTGGATGGAACTGACAGTGAGTTATAGTATGTATATTCCAGCCAGGACATGGGCCTTGAAACTTCCCTGCGTGCATAGTGCATCGCAAGCAAACCGTTTTCTTTCTCCTCCAGAACGAAAACTATTCAGGCACTCATATGCTGTATTGCTGACCTCTGCCGTGGTGCTGCGGTAAGAGTAGTAAGAGGTCCTTGTGAACACCGGAGATCATTCTATTTGAAAGTCACCTTTGCTTGTGCCATGCATATGATCGGTTCAGTAGCTGGCACTGCTGGTCAGCGAAATCCCACCTCATGAATAAAAGTAGCACCGCTCTCATGTGTGCAGAGCGGTGTGTGCAGAGTGGTGTGTGTGGTGCTAGGGCTGTGTGTGCAGAGTGGTGTGTGTGGTGCTAGGGCTGTGTAGCCCTTGGCGCTACTATACTCATGAGGTTGGATTTCTCTGAGCAGGGCTGTACAGGCCCGCCGGAACCGGCCCGGTTGGTCAGGTTATCGCCGGTCTAACCAGTTTTCGGCCACCAACACGTGTTCTTTCCTACTGTGGAGGGCATGTGTACCCGCCATATATCATACACAACGTGTGAAAGGCTATGCTACTGCCGGACCAATCAACAACTGTGTCCGCCGGTTCTGCTGTACCTTTGCTTGTGCCCGCGTGTCTGTTAGATTCAGTCGGACGATGCACTACTGGGCACAGGTACTGATCTAGCCCCGGTCCTCCGCAAGACCTTTCACTCAGATCGAGGTATCCAGTCAATGCGCTTGCTTGGCGTACCAGGATCATCAGGCAACCTCCTGTTCACCGTAAAGGGTAAGAGCACTGAGTGAGATATATATTTTTAGGGCTTTGTTATGTCATCGTATGTATTTGTGCAGGCGTTGTGGCCGGATTCCTGAAAAAAAAGAAGAAGAAAAAAAGAGCACTGAGTACGAGCTCCCGTAGAAATGAACACCAGCAAACTGTCCATTACCTTTACCCGTGGCTTTATGTGATAAGCATGACTATTACCTTTACCCGTTGCTATGTGATAACGGCATGCCTTTTGGCAGCATTGCTTTACTCCAGACACGGCTTCGTGTGGCAGTAGTCACACGGCTAGTGTGCCCCGAGGATACGGACAGGTTAATAATATTACAGGATATTCATGCATTCACTATGTACTGTAGTGCCGGTGTATCAAGAACATAAGCAAGCATGAACCTCCAGTGTTCAAAGAGTGGTTCATGTTCCGAAGCAGAGCTGCGAAGTTATATTAAAGGGGAAGTTAAGGCTAAAATCAAAATTTCACCAGTTGTAGTCTTCGGGGTGCTGAGTCGAATGGTCTCGGTCCGAGGAAGCTGAGACACTCCCTTCCTACTTTAATCTCAATCGAACTCGCGCACTTCCACCGAAACTGGGTGACTGCGCCCTACTAGATGGGAATTTGTATGCAAAATGTCACTAAAAGCGCCATTTCGTCCTTATAAAAGCACGGATGACCGCGATTGGCCCATATGTTGTAGTCTTTTGGACGCTGAGTCGACTGGTTTTGGTCCGAGAAAGCTGCGATGCAGCGTTCTTCCTTTATTCCCAATCGAACCTGGTTGAACAAGCGGTCACGTGCCCCTGCGTGCACAAGTCACCTGGTCACAGCGCCAGCAGGCGACAACTTTCACATCAAGGTTCATCTCGAGTTCAACTCGAGTGACAGGACTGCACCCAAAAAAGGTCAAGACAGGCTGTAAGTATTAGTTGTACCCTGCAGGCACGGTGACCAGGTGACTGGTGTGCGCAGGAGCATGTGACCGCTTGTTCAAGCATGTTCGATTGGGAATAAGGACCGAACGCTGCATTGCAGCCTTTTCGGACCAAAACCAGTCGACTCGGCGTCCAAAAGACTACAACATATGGGCCAATCGCGGTCATCCGTGCTTTTATAAGAACGAAATGGCGCTTTTAGTGAAATTTTGCATACAAATCCCCATCTAGTAGGGCGCAGTCACCCAGTTTCGGTGGAAGTGCGCGAGTTCGATTGGGATTAAAGTAGGAAGGGAGCGTCTCAGCTTCCTCGGACCGAGACCATTCGACTCAGCACCCCGAAGACTACAACTGGTGAAATTTGGATTTTAGCCTTAACTTCCCCTTTAAGAGCTCCATTCCCTGAACACGCACATGTAGTGCTATCTTCAGATCATGCTCTCTTCGATGCAACAACACTGCTGAGTAGTGCTGTACAGCCATATGAACAGTATAACACCCCTCCCCCACACACACACTAACAACAACTACATGTACATGCACATACATACATACATACATACATACATACATACATACATACATACATACATACATACATACATACATACATACATACATACATGCATACATCTTGATCTTGATCTTGATCCTGCTGCCAAGTCTGGCTACGCAGTCCCCGAAGGGACAGGTCAAATGGTACTAGTCACCCTGCTGCATCGGTGGCGTGTCCGGCCGCTAGTCGAGCGGAAGGTCCGGTGACAGGCGGAGCACTCCAGGGGTGGTACCGCTGTAGTTTGGATCTCAGTCAGTTTGCACTTGTGTTGAGTCCTTCCACTGATGGACGTGAAGGTTCGCTGGCATACAAGGCACGTCAAACCTGGCCCGTCTCGAACTGCTGGCGGTTTCCGTTGTTGTTGCTGCCGTCGAGGCTGGCTGAGGGAATGAGCTGGATCATTGCCACACCGATGGATCGCCAAGCCCCCATGAGAAAGGAGCCAGCGGCCGCACGCATTACATTCAACAGACCCAGACTTCTCTCTCACCGGCTTTGCTCGCTCCACTGTGCACTTGTGACGCGCCATGTAGCGGGGCTGAGAGAAACTCCGGCCGCAGGTGTCACACAGGACCGGCTTGATCTTGTGCTCAGTCCTGGTGCGGTGCGCGCAAGCAACAGCTTCACGGCATGCTGACCTCCAGGTACTCCGGCAGTTGGTTGCATCACACAAGTCTCTCACCTTGACATTAGCCATCTTGAGGTCAACACGGATTGCATCTTTTCACACATACATACATACATACATACATACATACATACATACATACACACACACACACACACACACACACACACACACACACACACACACACACACACACATACACACACACACACACACACATACACACACTCACACACACACACACACATACATACATACATACATACACACACACACACACACACATACACACATACATACATACACACATACATACATACACACACACACACATACATACATACATACATATACATACATACAGTGAAACCTGGTTAGGAAGAACACTGATAAGACAAATGTTTGCCTAAGAAGAACTAATATTCGTAACTGCATTGGATTAAACCCTGTGTATTCACTGGGTAAAACATATGGATAAGAAGAACTCCCGTTATTACGAACAAATATCATCGGTCCCTTGATGTTCGTCCTAAAGAGGTTTGACTGTACATAAATTATCCATATAAAAATCGCTCTGTGAGCGGTTCTGAAAAACCTTTACTGGTACTGCCCCGTCGTAAAAGTAAGAAATTAGAACTGGCCCATTGTCCCCCCAAATGCGAACTGATCCACCTAAATCGCGAATGACGGGACCCGAACGCACCAGTAGCACGAGGTCGGGAGGGCACAGGATCACGGCAATTATCATAGGGTAACACCAGTAGTAGCAGTAGAATTTATTATTTTGATAGGGAAGCCTTCCGCTAGTACAGTACATGGCCTATGGTCCGGACCAACGTCCCCATCTGCATCCACAGGTAGGAACCTCGTGCTACTGGTGCGTTCGGGTCCCGTCATTCGCGATTTAGGTGGATCAGTTCGCATTTGGGGGGACAATGGGCCAGTTCTAATTTCTTACTTTTACGACGGGGCAGTACCAGTAAAGGTTTTTCAGAACCGCTCACAGAGCGATTTTTATATGGATAATTTCAGCTCTTTTTCCGTTCCCTCCCCACCCCAACTACACAAACATGTGTATGCACACGGCACACACACGTGGCCACGCACACATACGCACATGCACACGACACAAACAGGAAATTCTTCATGTATAATGCCATGCAAAGCAGTGGCCACCGTACTTGAGGAAGTCAGTTGTGAAACAAAAATAATTCAACTACAGCGTGTAGACAAGCTGACGGCCAAAGCACAACATAGCAAACATGACATTTGCCCAAGGATTGTAGTTTGCAGACCATGCCATGGAAGCAGCGAATACAGAATGTAATATCATACAAAGTGACAAGCAAGGACGTGGCCATCATACACCAGAAACTTGCAGAAAGTCACATATCCAACAGATAGAGAAGTGAACAGCAATCTGATACAGCCCACACAGGACAAAGCGGACCTGATACTCGTCCCAGGATCGCAAGTGGCAAACCCTTTTCAATGCATAACATGCAGGTGTACGTTAGACGCATGAACATCTGACCGTGTCGCCAGCATACAATGTCATCACATGTTTACCCCACAAGTTACACACATGCACAGTAGAAGCACAATGAAAGCAATGGAAAAGTACGATGTGGTTGCTGAAGCATCTTCACACTTCAAATTCAGACTTCAATGTGGTCGTCACGGGATGATATACCTGCAAGATACAAGTGATGAAGAAAGAAAGCAGAAGGTCTTGAGGTAGGCTATGAGACACCACAAACGGTTCACCTACATGTCTGTTCAGGGCTAGTGCACTCACACGCAGAATTGTCATAATCGAGCATTTCCCAAACTGAGAAGTGCAATGAAATCCACTTGCATGCACAGGAGCAATTTTGCAATATTATGATACGCAATTCGACACGATCTGCGATGCTGCGTGCGATGTGCCCTGCTGTCATGATAGTGACAGTCACCGCCGTATGTTTTGTCAACGTCGCCCGTGCACTCTTCTGTCAAGTCCAAAGTGCTCACATACTTGGCAATGTTTTTGCAGTGATTAACTTTTATCCTAGTTATGTCACGGGTAACTTTAATGAAGTACCCGCAGGCCGTGTCGATCTGCACATCGTCCACTCTCTCATGTACTTGGCCTGCTTTGTCTGTGTATCCATTTTATGTGCGATCCACAAAATCGACTAGACAGTGGGTGCAATACGCTCTCTACCTGAAGACGTTCTTCTGGCGACATCTCGCCATGTACTTGGCCTGGCTTTGTCTGTGTATCCATTTCATGTTCGATCAACAAAATCTCAATGCACTACAGAGACTAGACGGTGCAATACGCTCTCTATCTGAAGACGTGAACCATTAAATTTTTTGGAAAAGTTATACGTACACCTGAAACGTAATGAAGTACAGGAATAGAGAGAGTGACTACAATACGCTCTCGACCTGATATAGTGATAACGTGAGTACAAGACACTCTCCACCTGATAACGTGTTAGAAGGTAACATGTCTACATCTCGCCATGTACTTGGCCTGGCTTTGTCTGTGTATCCATTTCATGTTCGATCAACAAAATCTCAATGCACTACAGAGACTAGACGGTGCAATACGCTCTCTATCTGAAGACGTGAACCATTAATTTTTTTGGAAAAGTTATACGTACACCTGAAACGTAAAGAAGTACAGAAATAGAGAGAGTGACTACAATACGCTCTCGACCTGATATAGTGATAACGTGAGTACAAGACACTCTCCACCTGATAACGTGTTAGAAGGTAACATGTCTACAGTCCCACCGTACCCTTCCGACACGACTGTAGACCATTAAATTTTTTTGAGAAGTTATACGTACACCTTAAACGTAATGAAGTACAGGAATAGAGAGAGTGACTACAAGACAC